CATGGGTCTGTACTTGAGGCAAGAGTCGGTGGAGTTGGCAGGGCTGTAAGGTCAAATGACAGGCCTGGCTCAGGACTTCGTGTAGATGTGGGTTGCCGGCGGGGCGACGAAGCCGGATAGGCTTTAAAAACCGATTACCCGACGTGAACTTCAACGCTACCGAAGACGATGACTTCCTTGGCTGCCCCGAGGGTACCGCCTGCTCTGTTCCACGCTCGGTAATGTTTCCACAATCAATTTATTTTGTGTAAATGTGCTCAAGCTTGTGGACTCCCCTTGAATCTATACTACCGCGCGTCTCCCTTGGATACAATGTGATTGCTGAGGATCGTGTTGTTGCAACACACATGACATTTTTTTGATTTGTCTATGGTCACCCAGATGCCGTGGGAGGAAGGACGCCACATTTCTTTTCACTACACTTCAATTAGCGGGATTTTGAACGAATTCGTGGCATCGTTTGAGCGCGAGTTGCAAAATCTGCACTTTTGGCGCCGCACTGTACATCCGATTGACCAATTTGGAATCCGTTTGCATGCCCAATGATTCCTCTCTTCTGTGAACGAATGTGACTTTTCAGCCATGTCCCGGGAGCGGAGCGAGTCGAGGTTGACCCTTGTCAAGGCGAAGGCGTGCACCAAAATGGACACGCGCTGTGTTGTAGCTTTGTTAGCCGGCTGCGATACACAGCATGATGTGTTGCACCAACCCCAACTTCGCCCAACGAGAGTCACCGGTTTCACGCTGGTACGTGTATATTTACACTAGCGTTGACAAACTACGTGCAAATTGCCGATATACCGGTCATCCCTTCCGGATAAGATCTTTACACCTCCCAGCCGCACGATCGGCCTCTAAACCTTTTCCTAACCTCCCAACATCCTAATCTAGATATCCTACTACCGTCCGGTGGCGCTTCAGCTTACTCTATACCTGGAGCGTGCGAGAGGAATATACGTACTGTCAAGGCCACATATATACAAATATTGGCCATAGCTCTACTGTAACATTACCGGTATTTTTACACCATTCAACCGTAAATATCACTGGGTTGTGATTGGTGCATATAATGCACCCTTTTGGCGAATCAGAAATCGTTTCCAACTGGACGCCACAGTGAGCGCTCGCAGGGAGATGGCGGACGACGAGCAATGGGATGACCTGGCTATCATGAAGGTACTACACATCGTAGCGTGCTGCTAGCACATCTGCAAGGAACGACTGCGTCATGCTCGAGTAGGCATTTGATGCCGCTGTGAACAAGCGCAAGGCCAAGCCGGCCAAACACGCTCCACGCGCCGCGGTACACCTCGCCGCCCATGGAGCTCGGCCTCATGCAACATAGAGCCACGCGCCGACGCATGCTTCCGCCACACCGCACACGCATGCATTGAGCCCGCCCAAGTCGCCCGCTGTGTCGCATCGTAGTGTACCCATGCACACGCCACCGCACGCAACCGGCAGTTCATTCCAAGCCCATCAGTCGACCTTCCCACCAGAGGCAGCGTACTACCACTCGCACGGCTATGATACACCCTCGCACGCTGCCTTCCCAGCGCACAATTACCCACCGCTGACACCCCCGCACGCGGCGTACCCCTCGCCACACGCAGCGTACTCGCAGCCCACACCGCGATCGAACGAGCAGTACGCTGATGCGTATGCCCGTGCCTACGCGCATGCTATGGCGCAGGGCGCGTCGCCGTCCTTTGCGCCACACCCCGCGCCGACGTGTCCGTACGGCTGTCAGCAGCAACATGGCGGACTGCCAGGTATGCCAGGCTTGGCGCCGGCGCCACCGATGGTCCAGGACGACGATCTCTCCAAGCTCCTCCTCTCATGGTATCAGTCGGGGTACTATGCGGGTCGCTACAAGGCGATGCAAGAAAGCAAGGCGTCGTTCTTTCGACGATAGAATAGAGTGCTGCTACAACGTAAGGACGTGAATTTGCACCGTCAGTCGTCATGGATCTAATCGCCGCAGCATGAGCGAGGAAGACGTGCATATGTAGATTACCGCAGCGGAGATGCTGTTCCAGTGCGCCAAGCGCTTGACGATTGCATCGTGCGACGGCAAGTCCTTGGTCTGCCAGTCGACCAACGTCGCAAAGTGGCCTTCGATCTCCCAGATCGAACTCGGCGCTGACGGCGCGTCGGACGAGAAGGCGTTAAAGTCGTCTTCGGCGGTCTCATCTGGCACGCCTTCGTCGACCATGACGAGGCCCGCGTAGCCGAGCGCGTCGAGGTGCACCTCGGTGCCACTGAGCTCGATCCCGCGGAAGCGCGCCGCCTTGGCGTCGCCAGCATCCTCGACGACAAAGTACGACGAGATTGGCGCCTTGCCATCGTATTTGACCTTGCATGGCAGCACGTGGACGCGCTCGTCGGCCGCCGGCGGCAGAGGACACCGCGTCGCGCAGAGCTTCTGGTGGCCGCTCATGGGTCGCGCTTTGAACCAGTCTCCACTTGGCTCGCACGTGATTGGCCACTTCTTTTTATCCAATCCATATCATCCTGTGCGGTGATTGGGGGAATCACGATCTTTGCCGAAGTTGACAGAAGCACGCAATATGCACCAGACTTGCATCGTCTTCAGCACCCGCCAAAGTAGAATTGCTGGCCAAAATGGACAAGAGCCGGAAGCCCAGCATACCACGTCGCCGATCTCTCGAAGCAGACGTAGATGCGCCGCCTGAGTTGGACGGCTCTACCTCGCATATTTGAAGAGCGCAAAGCTCAAGCTGGCCAGCGAGTTTGATCTGTCCAATGCCCACTGCAAGCTTTTGTGCCAGCGGCCACAGCTCGAAGGAGGCAAGGGAATAAATGCTATCACTCTACTCTAGTGTCCTCGTCGTCGCTGGTTCAAGAGCGACGGGATGCTTCGCAGTTGCCAGCCAGCGATACGTGGTGTCGCAAGGTATCTGGATCTTGTTTCTTCCAGCGATCCTGGTTTAGTGGAGGGTGTGGATAGTGCGCACGTATCCTATCCAATACGTATCCAAGACAGCATCGATCGGATCGATCCAAAGCGCACGTTAGATGCAAGTATCGATGAACGTTAAAGGTCTTGCACGAGGTACACGCGGCAGAGTTCGCGAAAGTAGCTGCGCAAGATGCGGTGCTTCATGTCGTCCTTGCTGCTCCCGGGGTTGGACGCGTTGAGCTCGGGGCACTGAAGGAGCTGCGTGAGCAGCTGCACATGACTACAATATCAACTTGATACATAGATATACCCCATCTGCCTACCTCGGTGTGCCTTGCTTGGCCGTCGCGTGCACGTGCACGAGCATCTCGAGAAACGCGAGCTCCCAAAAGTACTGAAAGAACGTTGCGTCGTGCGTCTGCGGCGAGAGCTGCAGCATCCGCAGCCCGTACACGACCTCGTCGTGCTGGAAACACTGGTAGAGCACAGCCGCGGGCACGTGCGCGCCGAGCTTGACGAGGCAGTGGCTCAAGCGCACGAGCGAGCTCTGGTCAATGAGGTCGACCGTACCGGACGCGAAAAAGTTGGTGGCCAGCGACGCCGCCGCCAAGTAGTGACGCAGCGCCGTCTTGTAGTCTAAGCCAACCATGAGCGATCGAGTGACTCAATGCGAAAGCGGACCGCCGACCGACGACAGCTTTTGGAGCACGATGGGGTTGACACACACATCGGCCATCGCCACGTGCCAGCGCGGCTCCCGCGGACTCCGCGAGAGAAGCGTGTTGAGCACGAGCTGGTGCAGCTTGACAACGTCGCTTTGCGCGAGCTTCATCGACTGGACCGGGTCCATCGCGCCGCCCGCATCGTTCGGGCCAAACGCAAGCATGATGGCGAGGTCGCTGTATGGCACGAGGTCGTACGAAATACGGTACTCACACTACGCACCATCTCTGAGCCCAGAGTGCGCGACGATGGACGCGCACGTACGAGGTTGAGTGCATACGCACGCTGCAAGAGACCGGCGCAGAGCGAAATGAGCGCGTCAAGTGCGGGAATCGGAAGTTCCGCCACCGCGGTCGATTGCTTGGACTCTTTCATCGCGGCCACGACGCCTTCGAGCAGCGCGATCGCGCGCTTGACGCCAAAGTCACCCGGCGGCTGCGACGTGTACTCCATGAGAGCTGCGACCGCCGCCACGACCGGCGAGGTGTCTAATGTACGCGTTTGTATGAGCCAGAGGCCAGTAAAGGAATAGATGTACGTTCGCTCTGGGGATCGCGCAAAGCGGTGTATGCGCCACGCGCCCATAGCTGGTGCACGGCACTCCCAGCGTCTTGGGGTGCCGCCAGCGCTGCATACGCTACGCGCTGTCGCTTGGTGCTTGGACGCTCGTCCTCCGGCGCCGGCGCCTCTGTCGCGACCACGTCCAAAAGCTTTTTCAAGGCAGCGTCCGGGCACGCCGCCAGGACGCTCTGGATGTAGGCGACGAGAAACGTGCGGTGCTTGCCAAGACCGGGCACTCGGTGGTACTGGCACACGGCAGCTTTCCCAGCCGATAGGATCGACGACCGCAGCGCCTAGGATACGTTCATGCACAGAGCGATGCCGGAATGCAGCAAACCCGATGGACGAGAAGAACGAGGTAGACTTGCTGCAGCATCTCGAGCTCGGCGTCGCGGCTCTGAGGCAGCGATTGCAGCACTTGCGCTTCCAAGAAGCTTTGGAGTCTATACGGCAGCGTATAGATGCAGTCTACAAGGGCGGTACTGTACGTTGGCGAGAGCGCGACGGGCTCGTTCGTCGCCTTCTTGTGCGTCTCGGCTTGCAGCAACGTGAGCAACGTGCTATAGTCATTGCGGTCCCACGCGCCTTGGAATGGATGGTCGGTGGCGGTGACTAAAGGCCATAAGATTGGTTCTTAGGCTATAAACGCTGTGGGCTACGTACCATTGGTGCCCAAGACGGCTTCGCACGCGTGGATGTACCCGGCCAGCGCTGGTGCGACCGCCTGCCACGAACTTTTGTGAGAAAATGACGTGGCAAGCTCGTACCTCGGTCGTCGTCTCGCGCGCCTTCGTAAAGCACTGCAGCGCGGATGCAAACTGCTTTTTGTGAAAGTGGTAGACGCCCATGTCATTGAAGGCAAGGTGTTGCAGGAGCGGCTGCGACGCCATCGACGGGAGGAGTCGGTCGAGGTCGTCGAGAATGTGTTGCATGGACGGCAGCGAGATGCCATTGAGCTGCTCGACCTCGTCTGGTGGCGGCTTGGTGTTGTCGCTCAGCGGCAGCTTGCCCACGAGCGTGAGCGGCGAGATGTGCATCTTCTTGACGGCAATGCGCAGCTGCCAGCGCGCACGCAGCACGGATGCTTCGTCGACGCTAATGTGCTCGACTTCGTGGAGGCGCAGCACGCGCGGGTTGGTCGCGTACTCGACGAGACCGTCGAGCAGGAGGCTCTGCAGCTGCGTCGGCACCGTGGCTTCAATGTCGGTGAGGTCAAACTTGAGCTGGAGCACGACGAGCGCGGCAAGGCACAGCAGCGTGTTGTGGCGCGCGCTCGGCTCGGTCGGGTTGGTGTTGCTGTACGCGGCTGCCGGGTTCTTGACCTTCTTGAGCAACTCCGTGAGCACGTCATGGGCCGTCGGCGTCGACGTCGGGTCCGCCAGTAGCGCCCGCGTGTGGTCGAGAAGCTTGGTGGGCTGGAAGAGAAAGTCGTACCAATCGTGCTCGGTGTGCGCAAGCTGCACGTCAATCGCCGGCTGCTGGAACAGTGACCGGTACGTGCGGTCCGGCGTCGGGACGCCTCGCGACGGGTTGCGAGGTGACGGGCGCGGCGAGAGCTCGGCGTTGCCGCCCAGACCAAAGACCATGTCACGCTTGTCAATGTAGTCCTGGACCTCTTGCGCCGACGGCCGCGGAGTCCCGGGGCACGTGGCCATGCTTGCTTGTGCTCGGTGTGTGGCGACGTGCGTACCTGAAATAGTGTCAATATACTATATTTATTGGGGCATTAATAGTGTTTATAAGTAGATGCATACCGCCCGCGACCAACTCCTTGACCGTCCAGGCGATGAAGCGCGCAAGAGCAGGCGTGGATTCGTAGCAGCCAGAACAGCAATACGATGCCAAACGAGCTATACAGTGGCCTGCGAAGCGACGAGGAAGGCTGGCGTACGTAGAACCTAGTCGGACGATCTTGAAGATCTATCTGTCCCAACAGGTTGCGGTCAGGGTTGCAGCTGACAGAGTCCACCACAGCGCTTGTGCAGCTACACCCCACAGTATCGGTAACGTCAGTGCAGAATGGGCTCGGAGCATATCCAGGTGCAGCCTACGACTACCCCATCAAAGCTGACCCACGAAGGAGGATCTCATGCACCGCCTCTGGCAGAGACGAACACGGCACATGGCGTGGCCGCCGACGGGATGGCCGACGAGGTGCTCTGTGCTGCCACCTGCTCGTGTCTCATGGTTCTAGTGAACGTAGCGGCGCACCCCGCGCACCACACTGCCCGATGGTACGCCGACGCACGCGACAGTTCGCCACGTTCGTAGCAGCGACTGCGCGGCTCGATAGCGTAACGGGGTCGGGCAAGCTCGACTACAAGGTTCACATCATTCTCACCTCGCAGTCGCATGCTGAAGGCATGGAGTAGGGCACTGCCAAGTGGATGCTGCGTCAGGACATTGAGCTCGTTATCGCAACGAGCCTTTGGGGCTGTTTGGATACGATCCTGGAGGTCATGTGGCCGAATGCGACGCGCGAAGAGCGTGCGTCCCAGCGAACCTAGACGCGTAACCCATGCGCGTAACTGGTCCAACTGTGGCAGTAGATGCCTCAAACAGTGGTTGAGCACTGGATATTCATATCCGCACAGCTCTCGAACCACTTGGTCGAGACAAGGCGATGTGTTTGTATCAATCTATCAGTAGATCGTCCTACCGGAAGACCGTTGGGATGGGACTGTACAGGAGCCTGTGGCCAGGGCTCGGGCAGTCAGCTAGCTTTAGTTTCCTATTTGCCTCGTAGTACACACGCCGGTGTTTGGGAGTACGGCCTCCCTTTTTCTGGCGTTGTTTTCGAAGCGGAAGCGGTCACACAAAGTCGACTTTAGCGACCACTACTCGCTCAAGAAGAAGATCTCGGGTCGCAACACGATGGCGGCTCCAGGACAAGCGGCGATGGCGATGAGTGGCGTCGTCGTGCTCTCGCAGCTTGTGCACCCGGAGTTCAAGAGCATCGCCCGTCGTGACGTGGTCGCGTGGAAGCGGGCGCGCCTCGAATACGAGACCTCCATGCGGCGCGAGTGTCAGCAAACCAACCGGAGTTACGCAGCGACGTGTGTTCCGGTCCGTGACTCGTTCACACCGGTGGGGTATCTCGAGTTCCTGATGAAGACCTCGTGGGACCTCTGGGACGACTACAACCTGCAGAACGTGCCCGAAGAGAAGCTTTGGGAACAAATCAACGCCATCATCGACACGCGGGCCAACCAAGCGGTGCTCACGTACGACAAGATCTTCACCTCGCTCGAGCTCGATTACGGCGAAGAAGACGTTCGCGCGCGGGTCAGCAATTTCCTTTTCAAGGCCGACCAAGCAATTGAAGACAATGGCCTCAGTGACAAGCTGCAGAACAGCAAGCTCAAGGCCAATATCTTCAAGGCGCTCATTCAACGGCTCCGTCCTCAAGAGCTTGAGACGGACGTGATGCAGCTGCTCGAAGAGAAGCTGGCTGTCAACAATCAAGCTGGCCTTCAGCACCTTGAGAAGATCATCCTCAAGCGGGCATTTTTTTACAAGTCGTGGAGCCCCAAGACGAAGCGTCTTCGTGACAAGGAGTCGTCCGGCGAAGACGAGAAACCGTCGCACAAGGAGCAGCAAGGTGTGCGCAAGAAGAAGAAGCGCAAGTTGAAGCAGAAGGACAACAAGCCGCCAGTGCGACAAGAACGCAAGAACGATGGCACGGAACGTCCGTGCTGGCACTGCGGCAGCAAGAAGCACAAATTGCGGGACTGCCCGAGTTCGAGCGCCAAGCAGAAGGCGATTGCCGTCAAGAAGAACTGGAAGAGCAGTCGTCGTGGCGGAGGCGGCGACGGCAGCAAACAAGGCGGCAACGAGGGCAACGGGGCGGTGACAAGAAGAAGACCAAGTTGAGTCACCTTCGAGCCTCTGGTCTCGGCCAGCTTCTTTCGGGCAGCGAAGGCCACATGGCTTTGACGCTCAACAGCGTCCTTGACGTACCGTGTGTGCCGGACAGCGGCTGCGGCCTGAACACCATTCCCGCCACGATGGTTGACAGCAGGGCTCAAGCAGTCAGCTAGCTTTATATACATATGAACGTGTTTCGCGTTATCTTCATAATCACACAAAGACTTCGCCTACGTAGAGACTAGCAATCTCCTTCTTCTTCATTCGCTCGCCGGGCCGTGGCTGCGCAGGCGGCGGCGCGGGGGCTCGTCTGGCTCTTCTGTCGTCGCCCTACGACGCTTGTGGCCGCGGGTGCGGCCCGTGACGACACGGTCGGTCAAATCTTTCCAGGCGTCGCGGTCGGCGGCAAAGCTACGCAGTGTGTCAAGGTCCTCCAGCGACTGTGGCGGCGTCAGCGACTGGAGGTCGCGGTGCAGGACGATCGGCAGCGTGATCTTGGTGCGTCCTAAGAAACGGGGCGCCTCGGATGGGGCAAAGAAGCGGTCCGCAGCCAATTTGGCCGGGACGTCGCGACCCAGTCGCAGCACGTGGCCTAGAATACTAGCTTTAGTTTCCTATTTGTCTCGTAGTACACACGCCGGTGTTTGGGAGTACGGCCTCCCTTTGTCTGGCGTTGTCTTCGAAGCGGTAGTCGCAAGGCCATCACGAACTGTTGCGTCAAGCCGAGCGAGGCAGCCCCAACCGCACCGAGTGCATCCGCAAGCTCTCCGCAGAAATGATCGTGTGGGTCAGCCTCCTTTGCCCGCCCATGGGCACTGGGGCCGACAACATTGGTAGCCAGCGATCGCTTATCGCTTGCTTACGTACTATGTTTTAGAAAACACGGCCGTGGACGTGAACCTCAGCGTCCCTTCCGCGATCCACGATGAAGCTGATCGTAGCAATGAGGTAGTATACGTGTCTGCTTCGCACGGCGATGATGTGTACTGTCGTGCTTTCTCTAGTCGCCACCGAAGGCTGCACCCGCGGCAAGAAGCGCTCGCAGGATACCAGCGACGAGGCCCTGAAGAAGCTCAAGCACTCGTAGCAGTCAAGTACGAGGTGATTAGGGGCTCAGTACGACGCCGAATCAAGCAGTGCATTCTTCCCACGGCCATGCTCGTTGGGGCAAGGACAGTCGTGACGTTGCGATCAAGAATAGGATGGCACAGGGGCAAGTAGTGTCAAGGGCCCTTTATCTATCTAGTGGGTGTTGTTAGGGCTGTCGCAATCTACGAAGTCCGACTCGCAGCGATTTGCAGCATGTCATCGGAGATGGACTTGGCGGTCTCGTCAAAGACGTCACGAAACATGATCGAGATACGCCGTGTGCGCTCGACGTCGCGGCCTTGAAACGTCTGGTGGCCCGGCAGGATCTCGTGCGTGTAGCGGTAGCGGACACCGCCACTACGACGCGTGTGAGGATACGATAATGCTGCTATCGACAGCTACCTCATGCAGTAGAACGATCGGCGCGGCAGGAGCGCATCGAGCTGCGACGGCCCAACCTCTTCTTTGAAGCGCATCACAGACGGCGAGAGCAAGCTAATGCCAGCGACGATTTGGCCGGAAAACTACAGATCAGCGATCAGCGGTGACACACCAGGAAGGTCGTGAACCTTGATCGAGTCGACGTGGGGCTTGATGTACCCCGCTTCGGCGAGGTCGATGACATGGACGGTTGGAAAGTACGTCAGTTGCGGTGGCATCACTGACAGCGACCGCAAGTGCGCCAAGATGGCCTTGGCCTCTACGAAGACTACATGTAAGCGCCTTCCCGACGTTGAAGGTGGTGGGTGTACCTGCGCTCCACTTGGTCGTCTCCATCTCTTTGAAGTTGACGATGACTTGGTCCCAATGATCTGTCTCGTAGCGCCGCCGACGAAGGAGGGTCGCGGCTTCGTCCGCAAGGCGCTGCTCGTCGTCCTCGGAGATCACTTCGGTCATGACCTGGAGATCGCTCGGCTGGAGAAAGGGGTCGCAGCAGAGAGACCGGTCGACGTTATCGGAGGTCGCCCACGAGTACGGCAGCGCCGGAGCAGTCGAGAGACGGCGCACGAGACGGTGGCGCAGGCCCATGCAGCGAAGCGGTCGAAGCATCTTGGCAAGTGATGGCGAGGACGGGGCCGCTGGGCGTGCGCGCTTCCTTGCACAAAGTCCTACTTGACACCTACTTTAAACTTAAATCCTAGATCAAAACGAACATACAATATACAAGTCACAGTACAATAATAAAATAATGGCTAGGCACACGCCACCTGGCATCGTCATGCTGGGATTTGCTCCTTGCAGCCTCGAATCACCGCTCATGGGGGGCATTGCTCATATTGCCAAGCCGATTTCCATTTGCAAGTACCGTACTGTCTTGAGTTCAAGACTATAAACTCAGACGCGTTCACCGAGAACGATATCTTAGTGGCGTGCGTTTAGCGAGCTTCACGGGCGGGCCGCACAACACGCCCAAAAGTCCTAATAAGATTTTTGCCCAAGGATGCAATCGCCGACGATGGAGCGCCCCACGGTCGTCTGTGTCGGGGTCATCTTGCCGCTCAAGAAGACGCGCAATGGGCGCATGCAGGAGCTGCTGCGCAGTCAGGCCGATGGCGTTCACTTTGTCCACATCGACCTCGACGTGGTCTCGAGCGTCGAGGACATCACCACCAAGTTCGGCGCCTTCGACGTGCTTCTGCACAAGCTAGCCCACGACATGATCTTTGAGACGCTCGGCGATATCGCCGCCATCAAGAACATGGCCATTATGAACAAGTACATTCAAAAGCACCCGCATGTGCGCATTGTGGACCCGCTCGCTGGCGTTCGGTTGCTCACCAACCGGCGCGACGTCTGCGCGATGCTGGCTACGCTCGCGTCCACGTCCGGGCTTCCGTTCTCGATTCCAAACCACGCGATCATTGCGTCGCCGGACGACAAGCGCGCCTTTCTCGCTCAAGTCGCTGCTGGCGCGTTTTCACTTCCCGTGATCGTCAAGTCCCTCGAAGCCTGCGGTACGTTCTCAAGCTGGATGGACATCATCATCGTCGTCTACTAGGCACGGATGCCTCCCACATGATGAAAGTCATTTCGTGCGTCGAGGACGTCGAAGCGCTCGCTGTGGACGGTCCATTGCTCTTCCAGGTACGCTACGTTTAGCAGTACTTTGTTGTTCTCATGATGCTGCACAGGAATTTGTCAACCATGATGGGCGGCTCTACAAGGGCTATGTCCTCGGCCCGACGATCCTCGTCTCTGAGCGTGTCTCGCTGCCCAACCTCGAACGTGGCGGCGCCAAGTCGGTCGAGTTTGACACGCAGAGCCCGTTTCCAACGGCAGCGTCGTTTGCGATCGCGCCGGCGCCCGTCGTCGCGACGCCGTCGTCGGCCATCAGCGCTGCGTTGACCGAGTCGCTGCACGCGATCGGCCGTGCCATCCAAGCAGCGACCCAGCTGTCACTCTTTGGGTTTGACGTGATCATCGACGCGCGTACGGGACAGCACCTTGTGATCGACGTCAACTACTTTCCGTCGTTCAAGGAGCTGCCCGACTTCGACGCGCGCATGCGGTCGCTCATGCGCCAGGCGTAATCCTATAGGCACGCTGCGGATGTGTTTTTCAAGGAATAATTGTGTCATTAAGAGCGCGTGGGAGCATTTAGAGCTGACCGCAGTCGGCGACGACGACGGGCTTCTTGGTCTGGCCCGACTGCGAGCCGACACCCTCAATCTTCTTGACGATGTCCATGCCCTTGATGACCTTGCCAAAGACGACGTGCTTGCCGTCCAACCAGGCGGTCTCGACCGTGCAGATGAAGAACTGCGAGCCGTTCGTGTTGGGGCCGGCGTTGGCCATCGAGAGGATGCCCTCGCCCTTGTGCTTGAGGAGGAAGTTTTCGTCCTCGAACTTCTCGCCGTAGATCGACTCGCCGCCCGTGCCGTTGCCGCGCGTAAAGTCACCGCCCTGGCACATGAAGTTGGGGATCACACGGTGGAAGCCCGAGTTCTTGAAGTGGAGCGGCTTGCCCGAGCGGCCGACGCCCTTCTCGCCCGTGCAGAGCGCGCGGAAGTTCTCGGCCGTCTTCGGGACCTTGTCGGCGAAGAGCTCAAACTCAATGCGGCCCGCGGGCGCGCCGCCGACGGTCATGTCGAAGAAGACGATAGGGTTGGCCATTTTGCGAAGAAGGTGCAAGTTGCAAAGTGAGCGTTCTGTGGCCAAGGTCCCTCCCCTACCCCGCGTGGCGTCATTGGCAAGATTCGAAGGATCCATTGGTTCTCAGAGGTTTTCTTTTTTATGCCCACGGGCCTATCTCAATACAAATTCTAAATACAAATTGGCATCGCGATATTAAAGACAGAAACCTCCGAGACATGATCGCTTCGAAACCTGTGACATTAGATACCTGCGACAATGCATTTCTTGAACCGATTCGGCGCGCTGGCGCTGGACGCCACGTCATCGCTGACGCCAGCGCAGAAGATGGACAGCAGGACTGAGCAAAGGACGTTGCATAGAAGAGCCGTGTGGGCTCGTGTCAACAAGCGCCTTGCAATCTCGACTTATGGAAGGCATTTGTAGGATCCTCGCAACCTTGAAACCGCAATGGCTACCGGTACGGTTACGGGCAAGTCGAATCCAACTGAGTTCTAGTCGATCGCCGATTTTTAGTCGACGGTGTAGTCGATGGAGCTTGATCGGTTGAAGTTGTGGCTTCTGCTGTGGGACGAGCCGCGAATGGACCACTTCCATATAGTATTGCTGGACGCGACTGATTGACTCATGACCGTGCCCCGGCGCTACGAGATGGCGGCGCTCTGTGCCATTGGCACGCTCCTCTGCTACGCCGATCGTACGTCGAACTCGACAAGCATCTTCCTGCAACCCTCGTCTAGGTACCAACATTGGCGTCGCGATTCCCGCGTTCCAAGCCGACCACGGTATCCAGGGTCATGTGCTCTCGGCTTTCTTCTATGGCTACATTTGCACGCAGTACTTTGGCGCGTGGCTCTCGAGCAAGGTCGGCCCCAAGGCCGTGCTCCTCGGCGGCGTCGCGCTCTGGACGTGCTTTGACGTGCTCACGGTGCCCTGCGCTACCTCGCCCATCCTGCTCTGGCTTGTCCGCGCCGGCATGGGCCTCGGCGAAGGCATCGTCTTTCCGTGCATGCACAACTTTGCCTCGTCGTGGTTTCCAATTCCCGAGCGCAGTCGCCTCAACGCGCACATTGCCAGCGGCATGGACCTCGGCACGGTCTTCTCCATGTTTGTCGCGCCGCTGCTTATGGCCTCGTGGGGGTACCCGGCGATCTTCTTCTTCTTTGGCGGCCTCAGCACGCTCTGGCTTGTCGTCTTTTCTTGGCGCGGCGCCAGCCGACCCGAGGACGACCCGCGCATCTCGGACGACGAGCGGGAGCTCATTCTCGCCACGCGCCACACGGCCGCGGCCAAGGAGTTTGGCACGCCCCATACTGTGGTCGTCGAGCTTCCGTGGCGCGCGTTCTTCTCGTCGAAAGCGCTGTGGGCCATTTACGCGAGCCATTTCGCGTACAACTATGGCTGGTACATCTTGCTCGGGTGGATTCCTCAGTACCTTCGCCTCCAACTGCATCTCGATCTCGCCTCGAGCGGCGTCGCCGCGGCGATCCCGTACCTTGCAGGATACGCCGGGATTCTCTTTTGGGGCTGGCTCTCGGACCGGCTCATTGCACACGGCATGCGTCTCGTCACCGTGCGCAAAATCACGAACGGATTCGGTCTCGTCGGCTCGGCCGTGTGCCTCTACGTGCTGCGTTTTGCCTCGTCGACGGTCTCGGCCGTCGCTCTCCTCTCGCTGACGCTCTTCTTGTCCCGCGCCGCGGCGTCCGGGTACTGGGTCAACATGCTGGACGTGGCGCCGCGTCACGCTGGTCACGTACGTACTCTTGGCTCACGTGGCATGGCGTTAGGATGTACTCACTGCTTGTGTAGGTCATGGGCATCAGCAACACGATTGCAACGCTGCCTGGCATTTTCGGCAACATTCTCACGGGCGAGATCCTCCAGCGCAGCGGCAACTGGGACCTCGTGTTTCTGATCGCGGCCGTCATCTTGACGACCGGAGGCCTTATCTTTCACTGCTGGGCGGGCGACCATGACGTCTTTGCCATGGTCGCTGACGACGTCAGCGACGAAGCACCGTTGCCTCTCAACGTGCATACGCCGTTGCTGCCCCACAAAGCATAGCACACTGCTATAGTACCACCTGATAGATAATAATAAGGTTCTCGTGCCTTGGACGAGCGGCTCTGTCACGGCTGGCCGCCTGCCACGTTGGACTACCGTCGTCTTCCAGAGAGGCAGCAACTCCGGAGCGCGAAATCTTCGCGTTGGTTCATCCAACTTCTTCAACTTCAACATTGGTTTCGATGTATTTTAATGCGCTGTGCCTCGGTACTCGAATAAAAATACGCCCGCAACATACAACGTGCAAGGTAATTGTATGCAACTATCAATGTTGGATTTAAATTGCGTGCGTCGTTTTTATTCCCCACCAGTCGTTTCACTGTATGCATTGTCAAAGGTTGTTTAACCCCCAACGACCACAAATGCACTGGCCGCGCGACTATAACATGCGTTGTCAGAGGTAGTCAGCTCCCTGGGTGCGATGGGACACGTTTTTAGACTGGAACTGAGTATACTCGAGCGATGGGCCAATCCACGACAAGCATTTCAAAAGGTGCGGACGTCGGCATTCGAGAATTTGCCGCCCGTCGCGCACGTCCATTTTCAGGTAGTGCTTCTAGTCTAGTTAGTCGATGCGTAGTCGATAGTCGTCGATTGTCTGAACCAGCGAGGGGTGCTTCTCGCGGGTGGGCCCATGGAAGAGGAGTCCTCCTCTTCCGTGAACATGCCCAGCCCGCGGGTCGCTGAGATCATACCCTTTTCACCTGATCCGGGTAAAACCGGCGGAGGGACTGCTGTGATGTACTTGGAGCTCAATACGTGTCTTGTCCTGGCAGCAGCCTAACCATCATCATGTTCGCCCTCGCCCGCTCGTCGCTCGCTGCTCGCTGCATGTCCACTGTGGGCCCGCATGCGCCCAAGATTGTCCGCGCCGGCAATGGACGGGTTCCGGACGAAGCGTGGCAAAAGGCCAACAACGCGCGTTCGACGCCCTTCGACGGCTACACCTTTGCGTAGGCGACCGACGCATCGAGCGATGCCCACCTAACGCATGTGCGTAGCCCTGTCAAGGAGGCGGAGGTGTCCCGCGAAATGACCACCCGTTACATGAAGGACATGTACGACTTTGCGGACTCGGATGTCATCATCGCGGGCGCCGGGTCCGCCGGCCTCTGCGCCGCGTACGAACTCTCCAAGTACCCAAACATCCGCGTCGCCATCATTGAGCAAAGCGTCGCGCCCGGCGGCGGCGCGTGGCTCGGCGGCCAGCTCTTCTCGTCCATGATTGTCCGCAAGCCCGCGCACCACTTTTTGGACGAGCTCGAGATCCCGTACGACGTCAAGGAAGACCACGTCGTCATCAAGCACGCGGCGCTCTTCACGTCGACCGTCATGTCCAAGGTGCTCAAGGCCGACAACATCAAGCTCTTCAACGCGACGGCCATCGAAGATCTCATCATCAAGAACGGTCGCGTCGGCGGTGTCGTCACCAACTGGACGCTCGTGACCCTCAACCACGGCACGCAGTCGTGCATGGACCCGAACGTCATGGAAGGCAAGGTCTTGATCAGCGCGTGCGGCCACGACGGCCCCATGGGCGCCTCGGGCGTCAAGCGCCTCCAGAACATCGGCATGGTCGAGAACATCCCCGGCATGGGCCCGCTCGACATGGGCGCGGCCGAAGACGCGATTGTCGCCGGCACCAAGGAGATCGTCCCCGGCATGATTGTCGCCGGTATGGAAGTGGCCGAGCTCGACGGCGCGCCGCGCATGGGCCCCACCTTTGGCGGCATGATGATCTCGGGCCAGAAGGCGGCGCACTTGGCGCTCGAAGCGCTCGGCATCAAGAGCCACATCAACCCCAACATGTCGTTTGCCATGTCGCCGGTCCGCAAGGCCGCGTAAGAACTAGTAGTTTTGTCGTACGAGGCAGCGTAATGAAATCTTCTTGTTGCCAACTCCGAGTGTTTTGTGTACAGCTCTGCCGCTACCTGAGCTCCAGTACGTCCAACGCGTGAAGCTTGGCTGCTTCCACACAGCAGCGCAGGCGCTTCATCCTCGTCGCATCCGTCATGGCCGTTCGTACTCGCAGTCCTTCGCCCGGCTTCATGTGATACCCATGTAGAGCCCAGCATGCGTGTCGCCGAAGCGTCTCGAAAAGAGCAAGACGAGGATGTGGCATCAATACTGTAGCACAGGGATGTGGTTGTGTATCGGGTCTAAATTTCGAGGAGGAGGCGGCGCGGGTCGCTGACGGCGTCGGCGACCGTCTTGAGGAACGTGACCCCTTCCCGGCCGTCAATCAAGCGGTGGTCGTACGAGAGCGAGATGTACATCATCGGGCGCGACACGACCTTGCCGTCGTGGTACACGGCGCGGTTCTGGATGCCGTGGAGGCTCATGATGGCCGACTGCGGCGCATGGAGGATCGACGTGCTGAGGAGCGAGCCCTGGACGGCGCCGTTTGCAATGGAAAAGGTGCCACCGGCCATGTCCTCGATCGCAAGCGAGCCTTCCTCCGCCTAGTCAAGATAGAGTGATTGAGGATCGCTACGACCAATTGTTAAGGGTACCTTGGCGCCGAGGTCCGTGAGCGAGCGCTCAATGTCGGCCATCGAGAGCGACTCGACGTTGCGGAGCACAGGCGTCGTGACACTACGGTACGTGTCGCAAATGCGTCCAAAAGACATGGCATGAGTACCCCTTCTCGGTCGCAACGACGACGTTGATGTCGGCGTACTCGTGGTAGACAATGTCCTTGGCCTCGTCGTCGATCGCTACGATGCATGAGACACAAGAGCCACACCAAGACGACGTACAAGCGTTGATGGCCGGGACCTTTTGGAGTGCCATGGCGCTGGCCTTGACAAAGGCAGAGAGGAAGCCGAGCTTGACCTTGTGCGTCTTCTCGAACGTCTCGCCGAGCTCCTTCTGAAGCGCCATCAAGTTGCCAATGTCGACCTGCACAAACGCCACTTTGAGATGCACGCAGATGATGACAAAGCACGTACTTCCTGGAAGGTCGTGAGGACCGCCGCCGTGTCCTGCGTGTCCTTCATGCGCTGGTTGCTGCGCAGGTGGAGGTGGCTCATCTTGACCTACAGCTGCTGCATAAGCCACCGAACGCGCACTCGAGAGTGTAAGTGTACGCGCGTCTCGGTGCGGTTAAACTTGCCAGCAACAGGCGCAGCCGTCGGGGCAGGGGCCGCCGCCGTTTCCGGCTTCTTGGGGGCGGGCGCCTTGGCAGCAGCCGGGGCAGGAGTCGCCGGCGCCGCAGCAGGCGTGGGCACGACAGGGGCAGCCGCAGCCGGGGCCGCCTTGGCAATCGGAGCTGCGCATCATTTATGAGCGCGGGGTATCGATGTGATTGAAGGCCTACCAGGAGCCGCCTTGTCGAGCGTGAACAAGGGCGCACCAACGTTGACCACATCGTCGATGCTGGCCAAGATGCTCGTGATCAAGCCGCCATGGGGCGCGTTGACGTCAACGCTGACCTAGATACCACATGAGCTCGTCGGGAATGCCATGACGACGGCGAACCTTGTCCGTCTCGAGCACAACAACAGCTTCGTCCGCATGCACGTAGTCACCGACGCCTACAGCCATGCCATCAGCGATCTGATTGGGCGACGTCAGTCGACGTACTCTTGAGGCTGACGACGGTGCCCTCCGAGATGGAGTCGCCCATCGACGGCACGTTGACGATGATCTCGTCGGCCGTAGAGAACATGCGCATGGGCGCGCGGCCGCCCACAAGGCGGGGTGCTTGCATCGATCGGCTCATGGAGCGGCCGACGCGGAGGATCAAGTTGCGGCTCATGACAGTCACCCGGCGTGAAAATATGAGGAATCGGAGGGCTGGCAAACCCTGCGCGCCCGTATCCGGAACACAAAACTATCCGGACTTCAACCGGATGGGGCAAACACGTTTAAACACAAGTTGGTGCGAGTATAAACCGCGCGAGACTGCACCGCCGCGGCTGCCGACCGCCGACGTTCGCCGCGTGCAATGGGCGCAAACGTGGTGACTCCATAGATGCGATAGCTCCAAGAAAGGTGGGAAGGCAGGCGCTTCGCGCTGCAAAGCCAGCGCGTCCGCGTCGCTGCGGGCCGTTAAAGCCGCGTTAAAGAAGGGCCGTGTCCCTGATTACGGCTGCCTCGCTGCTCGTCTCGACGTCGTTCCTCCCTCACGGTTGAATGCAAATGACGAGCGGATCCGAGGTGCCGAGATGCAGAGGTCGCTCGCCACAGTTCGCAGAGGTGGGCAGAGGTTGGGCTGCGAAATTTCGAGTGATAGCGGCAGCGAAACCACGGCCGATCGCCACGCACGCGTGCGGCACCTAACACGGCCTATCAGGCGCGAACCCGAGATCGCTCTATGAAGCGTGTGATCGCTCTGATTCTCGTGTTGCTTTGCACGCGCGTCTCTCTTGCCCCGGGCAATTACACCGCGCATGTCACCGGACGCTGGTGAATTACACCTTGACTCGCGTGCGTGGGTTGGTGTGGTTTCTTGCCCAAGAGACGTGGGCGCCGTCGTTGATTGCTCAGAGCCTCCGAGATCCTCCCATGCAAAGTGCAAACTCAAAGAAAAGATACCACCTTCGCCGCCTCTTCCGCCTCGTCGAGCTCCATCTCGAGCTCGAGCTCAACCGACTTGGCTACTTGGTGCCCATCCTCTCGTGCTCCGTCGCGTGCATGTGAGGGGCGAGGTGTGCCACTTTGGTGAAATCTGAAGTTGGTCGTCGTGGGCCATCCGCGCAGGTACACTCGGAAAGTACTTGGACTTTGTATGGCGACTGCGAAAGAAGCACGGCGCGCAGGCTTGAAATTTCCGAGCGTGGCAGCCGGTTCAAGGAGCAGCGACTGGTATACAAAATGCAAGTCAAAGCCGAGCGTGGGTTTCACAAATTCTACGGTACGTCGGGTGCCAGAAGCAAGGCCGCTGCGTCACGCGCCCACTTCGCGCACCGTCCCACGCAAAGAAAAGCACACAGTACTCGGGTGGCGAGTGGCAGATACAGTAACACCGCCAAGATGATGGACGACTACGTGCTCATGTCGGCGCCGTCGACCGTCGACGACCTCCGCGAGAACCTCGCGCGCCTCGAGCAGCGCTGGAAGACCATGCGCCAGCGGCCGCGCGACCGCCCCGTCTCGATCTCGCCGTCGCTCCAGCCGCCCTCGCCGCTCCTGCGCGCCTACTCGGACACGCACGTCGACTCGAACGAGTATGCGACGCCGCCACCGCAGAGCCCCGCGCCCGTCACGCCCCACCGCGCGTCCGCGCCCGACGTGACGAGCCCGCCGCAGCTCTTCTCGCCGACGGCCGCGACCAAGAAGGCCAAGTACCTCGACGTGTCGTCGCCGGAGCGCACCTCGTCGCGCATCCCGTCGCCACTCATTCCTCGCCATAGCAACGCCGCCGGACGCATGTCGCCCAATGTCGAGCCTCGCCGCATTGCAGCGCTGACACAAGAAAACGTCTCGCGGCTGCCACGCGCGCCGCTCCACGCCCTCGACCGCGACCAGAGCTCGATCTGCAGCTCGTCGCACTCGCGCACGTCGCGCGGCTCGAAATATTCCGTGAAAACCGATGGCGGTGCAGTCTTCTCGCGCTTGTACCAGCCCAACCACCTCCAGGACCGCGATCTGCGCATGACGCTGCACAAGGAGCGCCAGCGCAACATGAACTGCCCGTTCAAGCCGCGCACGAACGTCAAACACACGGGCATTCCGCAGCCGTACTATCCCGCGTCGTCGAAAGAGTCGGTCGGTAGCAACGGCAGCGCGGCCAGCGCCCAGACCGACATCACACAAGGCCTCTCGGCCTCGAGCCGGCTGTACGACCCCGACTACATCAAGAAGCGCCATGCCAAGCTCGAGAAGCTCAAGCTCGAACGCGAGCTGCGGCACTGCACCTTTGTGCCCCGCACCAACCGCATCACAAACGACCGGCTGCTCACCAAGCCGTCGCCCACGACGTCGGCCGCGTCGTCACCGCGAAAGGCGTCCGGCATTCGCAAGGCATGAGCGAGTGAGTCTGGATGTATTATATATATTAACTACTGATAAGATAGTCCTTTTAGTTTAGTCGATGAACGGGCTGTTAGAGTGACACGGGCGCTGCATCCAGCGGCGGCGGGAAGCTCAGAATCACCTTTTTCCCGTTCAACGTGTCGCGGAGAAGCAGGTTGGCGGCGCGGAAGACGTCGAGTTTGCCGCCCTTGACGTGGAACCCGCGCTGTTGCGCATATGCTTCGGCCAGTGTGTACGGCGACCAGTCTAAGAGCACGCAGTCGTTCTCAGGTCTTAAGTCATACCACCATCAGACGCACCGTCGTCCTCGTCGACCTTCTTGAGCTTGTATGTGGTTTCGAGGGTCGGGACGCAGTTTTCAGCAATGAACCGAATCGCACTGTACGGCTCGCGCGTCTGCGCGATCGGGTAGCTCCCAAAGAGGATCTAGTCGGTTTTAGTTGGTCTCGCCTCGATCGAGTCGCGCACCTGGAGGGCCATGGGAATGTTGAAGCGGGGAAAGACGACGCCGGGGCAGTCGCAGAGGCAGAGTTTCGAGACGTCATCCCGGCCGAGGCGACTCGGGTGCTCGTAAAAGTGGGTTTGAAAGTGCTTCGTGTGGCCTGGCGTCGCCGACACCGACACGAGCTTCTTCCCAAAGAGCCCGTTCAAGAACGAACTCTTCCCGACGTTGGGTTCGCCGACCTAGGTGACGAGATTTGTATCAACTTTGTATCAAGATATTGCAGAGGCGTACGAGGCCGACGGTCAGTGTGCCGTTGTTGAGCTCGTCGTCACGACCTGCCGTGCACGTGGTCTCGCGGCTCAGCGCGCCAATGGCTTCGAGGACGACGAGGTTGTCGTCGTCGGACCGGTCGCGCGAGTAGGTGACGACGGGAACGCGGTACCGCTGACGAACGTACGTCACCCACGCCTCGAGGCGGTCAGGTGACACGAAATCCGCCTTGGTGAGCACGATGAGCACGCGCTTGAGCGGGTAGTCAGCGGCAATGTGCGCCAGGAGCGCGTGGCTCAGATGCAGGAGCGGGCAGCGCGCGTCGGCAAAGTGCACGAGCACGTTGGACTTTTCAATCACGCGCCAGAGCTGACGCCACACCTGGAGGTTCCGCTCGTACGCGTTGATCGCACCGGCCTTGTGGTTCTCGCACAGATCGAGAAGGTGCGTAAGCCACGCACGGAACGCATCTTCTTCGAGCGCCACAAGCTCGTCCGCACCCGTGTCCTTGGTCCAGTGCGGCCGCACTGGAATCGGTGGCTGGTTCGAGACGTCGGTGAGCCCATATGCGTAGATCGACTGCGAGTCGCCTCGGTCCGGCGCGAGCTCCAGCGCCCGCGTCGCGTCCTTCTTGCGCTCGTCGACCGCCCACTGCGGCTCTTTCGCAAAGATCGTGCGCAAGTCGCCCGAGAAGCCCACGTCCGTCGACACCTGCGCGGCGGCGGCTGCGTTGTCAAAAATCTGCGCGTCGTCGCCGTCGCCGGAGCGCATGCGCCGCTTGATCTCGTCCTCTTCCTTCTGCGCGCGGCGCCACTCGGATTCCTTGACCTTCTCACGCTTGGCCTGAAGCTAAAGACGCCATGAGGCTCCTCGGCGCCCATGCTGGCTCCAGTACCTGCTGCTTCTTCTGCTTGCCGCTAAAGGGCTTGGACCGTGTCATGACCACCGCTTCTTGCCGTTTCCGAGACAAGACGCACAATACACTGACACGGAATTACTTGGTTTTTGTATACTATACAAAACACAAGGCTTCTAGAAAGATCGACAGCGTGGCAAGGTCTGCAGGCCAGCGCGTGGCTGTCAAGTACTCTGTACTGGTACGACAATATTGTACATCATTATACAATATACAGGATTGTGCTACCCGGCGAGATCATGTCCCTCGACCAAGTGAGCGTCGGAGAAGTCGCATCAAGATCGCCCACTCGCCGCCAACGCAACTTCAAATCTGCAACCTTCAACGACCCGCTAGCCTGAAGCAGCACCGTGGGTACTCGCGCCATGAACTCGACACTACTAGCGCAAGTTGCTGTACAGAGTGCGCTGCATTGGCTGGCTTTGCCGCGAGCAGTCGGCGTCGATTGCCGCAGCTCATTCCATCAGTCGAGTGCAATTGTGGAGGCTTCTGGTGCGGCGCGCCAGACCAGCTGCGGGCAGCGAGAGTTAGTATAGATTTAGTAGTTATTACCAGTACTAGTTAGTAGATAGCACTGTATGCAGGCGCCTTGGAACCGAGCATGCAAAGTTGCTGCAGCGGTTATCGGACGCAGTACTGAGGAGGATGGCGATGGCGCATTCTTGGCGCTTTGCTTTTTGATTGGCGCTGCTTTTCCACCAATCAAAGTGGGCGGAAATTTGGTGCATTTTCAAGTTGGAATGGGCGGCTCCGAGGTGGACGTGGACACGGGCGTCGTGCATGGGCGCGTGACGGGCATCATCTACCCGCCGCCGGACATCCGCGCCGTCGTCGACAAGACGGCGCAGTTCGTCGCCAAGAACGGCCGCGCCTTTGAGCGCAAGATCGCCGGCGAAGTCATCTCGGCCAAGTTTTCCTTCCTCAAGACAGGCGACCCGTACCATGCGTACTACGAGCACAAGGTCGAGGACTTTGAGCGCCAGCTCAACGAGCCCGAGAAGCCCGCCGAGCCCGAGAAGCCGGTCGAAGTCGCGGCGCCGGCGCCCGTGCCCGAGCCGGAAGGCGTCGCGGTCGAAGTTGTCGAGCGCAAGCCTGTCGAGGCCGTGGTTGGCAAGGCGCTGCGCAACCTCTCCGAGTCGGACAAGAAGCGACCGCCGGCCGAAGAGCAGTTTAAGCAAAAGCACCCGACGCTCACGGCGCAGGACCAGGAGATCATGTACTTGACCGCGCAGTTTACGGCCGTCGGCGGCAAGGCGTTCCTCTCTGGCCTCGCGACGCGCGAGCAGCGCAACCCGCAGTTTGACTTTATCAACCCGGTGCATCCGCTCTTTGCATACTTTACGTTCCTCGTCGAGAGCTACGCCAAGATCCTCACGGCCAAGGCGCAACGCGGCAAGAAGGCCAACCCGCTACTCGAGCGACTGGACGAAGGCGTCGACCGCATGAGCGTCCTCGATCGCTGCGTGCACAAGCTCGAGTTTATGCGCATCGAGAACGAAGCCAAGCAAAAGGAAGAAGCCGAGAGCGACGCCGAGCGCCTCGCCTACATGCAGATCGACTGGCACGACTTTGTCATTGTCGAAACGATCGTCTTTGATGACAGCGACCTCGTGACCGACGGAACGAACCCGTACTACCTCGAAGACGACCCGACGACGCAAGCCACGTCGGCGCCGTCCGCTGCCGCCGCCGAGCCCGACGACATGGACATGGATATGGACATGGACGACGAGCAGCCGTCCGAGCTCAAGGTCATATTTCCCAACTCCATACGCTTAATCACATGCAATGTGGATAGGTTGTCGAAAACTATGTCCCCAAGGCTGCCGCATCGTCGGGCGCGTCCGTCAACATGATGAGTGTCGACGGCCACGCGGTCTCGACGGCCGATGCGAACGAGCACATGCGCATTCTGCTCATGGCGCCCAAGTACCGGGAAGAGACGCAGCGCCATTTGAACAAGCAGAAAGAGAGCCCGTTCGCGCCTGGCGCGGCCATCGCCGACAACTTCAAGCGGTTCGCGTCCAAGCGCTCGGATATCTTTTCGTCGTCGGCCGAAGAAGAGGCGAAGCTCACGGCCGCGATGGCCTCCAACGCGCCGCCGTCCCAAGACGACACCGGTGATGCGGTGAGCAAATGAGATGCCACGCATGACGCCTCACACCATGAATGTAGAACGAAGAGGCCGCCAGCGGGTACTTGCCGGTGCAGACAAGGTCGCAGGCACCGATCGCATACCACATCCAGCCGCCGCGCCCGGGGGGTATGGTGCCCCCGCCGCCGACCTCGATGCCGCCACCGCCGCCCATGGGCATGATGCCGCCACCGCCACCGATGGGCATGCTGCCGCCGGGAGGCATGATGCCGCCGCCGCCTCCACCGCACCTTATGGGCATGGTGCCACCGCCACCGGCGATGCAGCCGCCTCCGCCGATCGAGGAGCCCGCTGCAAAGCGCCAGCGCGTCGATGGTGTCATTCTCATGCCCGAGAACGAGTTTGCCGAAGCGTACCCGGTAGGCCATCGCCATGGATGAAGCTAGAGTCGTCATGACGATGATGCTGGTACCGTAGGCGCCGATTCGCCTCCACGTGCAAGTCGCAAACGAGCCCGAAAACCCGAACGGCTGGTCCCTCCACGGCCAAGTGCTCACGCTCGAGGTCGACATTCGCGCCAGCGTGCGCGAGCTCAAGCAGTTTGTCTTTGTACGTTGCCTCTGCGAGTCGCCAGCGTGATCGTATTGCCCGTAGGAGCACACCAAGATGCCGATTGCCAAGCAGCAGGTCAAGGCGCCGATCGTTGGCTTCCTAAAGGACTCGCTCAGCTTTGCCCACTACAACATGTACACGGACCTCGTCCTCGAGCTCAGCGCGCGGCAGCGTGGCGGGCGTCGCTAAATCGTGCCAACGCATTCTTTTTCTATTTCTTTTTCGTTCTTTTAGTACGGTCTTTTATCTTGTAATCGGTGCGATCCGGCGCTGTCCGGATAAAAGGACTTTGCAGCAGCAATGGTGAGCTGCGCTCATCGCGTCCGGGCGGCCTCGTGATGCGTGCGCTGTGTAGAGCGAGAGTGACATGGTGAGCAACCGCATGTCGGAGAAGATGCTTCTCGGCTGGGCATTGCTCGCCGAGACATGCCCCGTCGACGAGTGCTACACGCCGTTGATGAGCACGAAGAAGCAAGCGCACAAGGTTTACTGCGTCAAGTGCGAGCGCTGGTTCAGCACCGAGCTTGCTGCCAAGAACGAGACGACCAAGGTGCCAGAGCCCAAAGCGCCAGAGCCCAAGGTTGAGGCTGTCAAGGTCGAGGCGCCATGGCAGGAGTCCGAGGCCGAAGCGGCGGCCTACCGCGAGAAGAAGAAGAAGCGCGACGCGGCCAGCGCCAAGATGGGCGAAAAGATGCTGCAGGTACTACTATGCCATCTCGATCAGTTCTCTCGAGTCGAAGCACCGGTCGTGTAGGGCTGGACGCTGCTCGGTTTACATTGCCCCGTGCCCGAGTGCTTGATGCCATTGATGCGCAGCCGCGAAGGCCAGGTTCGCCGCTTGTCCATGCATCGTCCTCCAAATGTCTACGTGCATTAGATGTACTGCGTCAACTGCGAGCAGTATGTGATGACCGAAGAAGAGATGGCGGCGCACACCCAGACAACGACAGAGACTTCGGCGGTCTCGGAGGCCTCTTCGGCGCCGCCAAGCCCGGTTGTAGCGCCAAAGCACACGCCGCCCCCGCCGCCAACGTCGCCGCGTACGTTCCGACTTTGAGAAACTGAAGATCGAATTGCGATCATCTAGTGGCCAAGCGGCGCGCGCTCTCGGTGCCCAACGAGTTTGACTTTGCAGCGATGAACCGCATGGCGATCGACGTCCTGTACGAGGTACACGACGCATGTTGATGTCGCGCCGCGACCCTCTTGCTGCGTAGAAAATGGACACGGCACTCGGCCAGCTCGAAGCGGCGACCAAGCCCAAGGACGCGGCCGAGATTGCCAAGCTGGTGCGGGAGCTGGCCAAGGCCATCAAGGCCCTCCAGTCGCTCGGTGACGAAGCGTAGACGACCATCATGTCCCTACGGAGCGATACATAGCAGCATCAATAGAGCCTCATCATTTGCAACGTTTCCAAAAACGCGGTCTGACCTTGGCACTCGCCGTGTCTTCTCTGCCATCGCCCGTCATGTTGGAGCTATGACGACGTGGCAGCATCGCTGGGAGCCATTCACTCGACTCTAACTTCAACAACCACCTCGGGACGCGAGCGCACAAGCGTGCCGTTCACTTGGCGCGAGTTGATAAGGGCAGGTTTCATCGACGCCAACAAGTCCAGGTGCATGGTGGACAATTCCTTCCACTCGCAAGATCTAAGCTATATCAAGCGTCCATAATACTGACGGGCTATGTTAAATCCTCTTTATCCGCCCTCCGCGGCTAGCGTATGTACATGGGTCTCGCACGCCAGTGTCCGTCGACTGTTTCCATGGTGAGAATAAAGTCATAGTGCTCTTGCCACAACGTAAGGTCGTCGACGACGTAGACGGAGGTCGCCGGAGGCCCAAGCGTCTGCAAGTAGCGCAGTACCTTCTTGGATCCGCGGCGCATCGCTGCCTCGTGAACCAAAGGCGTCCATTCCAAGCCGACGACTTCGTGCAAATGCCGGAGCATGTCGAGGTGGTTATAGGACGCTGCTCTGATCATCATGCGCTCCGAGACGCGAGCTGGTAGCGTCGTTGGTATCGGTAAAGCATCGCTCAGAAGCTTCAAGATGTCGAGGCGTCCACTGCGTGCGGTGGCCACGAGCAGCCAGTACAAATCCATGTCGACGCTGTCCGAACCGAGTTGCCAGCAGCGGCGCGAGAGGACGTAGGCGACGGTGTTATCATGCGTCTTCAAAATCGCATTCACAAGGGGTCGACGGCTGCAAAAACGCTGCTCCGGACCCTCGTGCAGGTAGCGCACGATGTGCAAGTGGCCATTTTCCACAGCTGCGTCCATTGCGCTCGGTAGCACCTCGTAGCCACGAGCGACGAGCAGCTCCAAGATCTCAAGGTGGCCTTGGCTCGCTGCCCAATGCGCTGGCGACCCTCGGACGTAGTCGCCCTGCGAGCTGCCAAGATAGCCATCTCGCTCTGGCAGCGCTGCGCACACGCCACTGTTTTTAGCAACTTTTTTTTGTCGGTCGACGCCGCCCGTTGGCACATCCAAGAGGTACGTCACCATCGCGAGGTGACCTGTGTAGACCGCCGTGGCCAAGGCAGCAGGCGTCCGCCAAACCCCGTAGACCTCGTGAAGCCAGCGCACGACGTCAAAGTGGCCACGGGCGGCCGCAAGCGCCATTGCGTCTTCATTGCAGCCATCGCGTCGGTTTTGATGGAGCCACTCGAGCACGTGCATGTGGCCGCGGTAGGCTGCGTAGACGATAGCATGCTCCGACCCGGCGCGAAGGCGACTCGTGTGCAAGAGCTCGAGCGACGCCATGTCGCCGTTGAAAGCAGCGAGCTCCATCACTTGGCAGTGTTCCCATCGGCTGAATGGACTGTCACCGCCGGCAAGTAAAGCCTCCAACGATGAGGGTTCCTTTGGCGCATCACGTGGCAGCCACTCGTCGTCGCTGAATGGTCGCAGATTCTCTTGGTTAATGCAGTGAAGGACGTAGCGCAGCATTGCGTGGTCTTGCTTGGCGACTGCCAGCTCCAGGAATGGCTTGGTCATCTTCTTTAGGTACCCCCGCACGTAGACGTGTTGAAGGATCGCAAGCCCCGCTCTCTCCACCAGCGATTGGAGGGCCGCGTTTGTCAGCTCGACGCGGGCTGCGACGAGGTCGACGGCCGCGAGGTGCGTCGCCCCACGAACACTGCGCGTCGTGTGCGTCCCATGTGGCACTTGGAATCGAAGCGACGGGTTGACGCCTTCGGTGCGCTGCTCGAGAAGGAATCGAACGATCGATGCATGGCCATTGATGGCTGCTGCGGTTGCCGCCGCAATCGTACAGCCCTCGGTCCGCATCGAGTGCAGAAAGACGGCTACGTCATCATGCCCGTTCATGGCCGCACCGTCCATCGCGGCGGTGGAGCACTTTGCACCTGCCTCGTGGAGCCAACGCAAAAGCACCAGGTCGCCTGACATGGCGACGAGGTCCATCATCTTGGGCGTGGCCAGCGTAGCAAACTGCTCAAAAAGGAGACGCAGAATCGGACCTTGGGACGCAGCAGCAGCAAGCTCGAGCGTCGCCGACGTACACAGCGAGGCATCCCATCGCAGCCAGCGCTCGACGAGCGCCATATCACCGTCGACGATCGAGAGATGGAGCGCGAGGGCACGGTCGTAGAAGCGCGGCGAGACAAAGAGCGCGTGGTGACGCAGCTTGGTTGTCGGGTGGGGGTATCCCTCCAGGTACGGCAGGCACGCGAACCGGGCTGGGACGTGGGCGAGGTACCCCGTTTGCTCACAGTTTGCGTATGGCGAGCACGGCGTGAGCTCGACAGCGTCGGCGAGGCGCTGGACAGCCGCCAAGTCCTGCGGCAGTCCTTCTTGGAACGACGCAATGACTTCGACGAGGTCGGATGATCGAAGCACAGGCGAGGCCATCGTCGTCAATGTGCAAATGGCAGCTCCGTATCCGTGTCAACAGAGTGATTGTTGCGTTGTTGACTCGTCTGAGATTATCCGTAATTTGCCGGATAACACTTGGGACCTTATATACAGGTTGCTGACCTCTCCGCTTGCTGAGTAAAAAGAGTCGTGATGGTACTCAAAATAAGCTCAGATTAATGGTCGCAACTATCTAATTTAGTCGACTTCCTCAATCTTGGGGCCCTGGGCGTGCGAGGCCGGAGGGGGGGCACCAGCGCCGCCCATGTCGGGCATGCCGCCGGGCATACCGCCGGGGGCGCCACCAGCAGCAGCGTACATCTTCTGCATGATGGGGTTGGCAATGCCCTCGAGCTCCTTCTGCTTGGCCTCGAACTCCTCCTTCTCGGCCGACTGGTTGGCGTCGAGCCAGTTGATGACGTCCGTGACCTTGTCGTCGATGGCCTTCTTGTCGGCCTCGTCGATCTTGCCCTGGAGCTTCTCGTCGTTGAGCGTGTTGCGGAGGTTGTACGCGTAGTTCTCGAGGCCGTTCTTGGCTTCGATGCGGAGCTTGTTGGCTTCGTCCTCCGACTTGTACTTCTCGGCTTCCTGGACCATGCGCTCAATGTCGTCCTTGGTGAGGCGACCCTTGTCGTTCGTGATCGTGATCTTGTTCTCCTTGCCGGTCGACTTCTCGACGGCCGAGACGTTCAAGATACCGTTGGCATCAATGTCGAACGTGACATCAATCTGGGGGACACCACGGGGCATGGGCGGGATGCCGTCGAGCGAGAACTTGCCGAGCAAGTTGTTGTCGCGCGTCATCGAGCGTTCGCCTTCGAAGACCTGGATCAAGACACCGGGCTGGTTGTCGGCGTACGTCGAGAACGTCTGCGACTTCTTCGTGGGCACCGTCGTGTTACGCTGGATGAGCGTCGTCATGACACCGCCGGCCGTCTCCAAACCGAGCGAGAGCGGCGTGACATCGAGGAGGAGCAAGTCCTGGAGCTTCTCCGACGAGTCGTTACCCGAAAGGATAGCGGCCTGAACCGTGGCGCCGAAGGCGACGGCCTCATCGGGGTTGATCGACTTGCAGGGCTCCTTGCCGTTGAAGAAGTCCGAGAGCAGCTGCTGGACCTTGGGGATACGGGTCGAGCCACCGACAAGGACGACTTCGTGGACCTGGCTCTTCGAGAGCTTCGAGTCGCGGAGGACCTTCTCGACGGGCTCCATCGTCTTGCGGAAGTAGTCGCCGCACATGTCCTCGAAACGGGCACGCGTGATGGTCGAGTTGAAGTCGACACCGTCAAAGAGCGAGTCAATTTCGATGTAGGCCTGGGCCGACGACGAGAGCGTACGCTTGGCGCGCTCGCAAGCCGTGCGAAGGCGGCGGAGGGCGCGCTGGTTGGACGTCATGTCCTTGCGGTGCTTGCGCTTGAACTCGGCCGTGAAGTGGTCGACGAGGCGGTTGTCAAAATCTTCACCGCCAAGGTGGGTATCACCGGCCGTGGCCTTGACTTCGAAGATGCCTTCCTCGATCGTCAAGAGCGACACATCGAAGGTACCACCGCCGAGATCGAAGATGAGCACGTTGCGCTCACCGCCCTTCTTGTCGAGGCCGTACGCGATGGCGGCGGCCGTGGGCTCGTTAATGATGCGGAGCACGTTGAGGCCGGCAATGGCACCGGCATCCTTCGTGGCCTGGCGCTGCGAGTCGTTGAAGTAGGCCGGGACTGTGATGACGGCGTTGTTGACGGGCGAGCCGATAAAGGCCTCCGAGACTTCCTTCATCTTGATGAGCACCATCGACGAGATTTCCTCGGGCTGGAACGTCTTGGATTCGCCCTTGAACTCGACCGTGATCTGGGGCTTGTCGCCGGCGCCGGGCGTGACCTTGAAGGGCCAGTGCTTGATGTCGGCCTGCGTGGCGGGGTCGTTGAACTTGCGGCCAATGAGGCGCTTGGCGTCGAAGACCGTGTTGGTGGGGTTCATGGCCACCTGGTTCTTGGCGGCGTCACCGATGAGGCGCTCCGAGTCCGTGAAGGCGACGTACGAGGGCGTCGTGCGGTTACCCTGGTCGTTGGCGATGATCTCGACGCGGTCGTTCTGCCACACGCCGACGCACGAGTAGGTCGTACCGAGATCGATACCGACGGAAGCACCTTGGACACCAGACATCTTGATTCTTGGCGAGCAAATTCGAAAATGAAATTCGCGTCAAATGACTGGGACCGCAAAATGCACTTTCGAGAAGCACGCATACAAACACCAAGCTCGTTTGGTTTCAACGCATGTGATTGGAGGAAATTGAATTGTCGGCCATCACGTCGCCCGCGGATTGGTTGAAAACCCGAATCTAGAAAGTTCGATGGTTTACAAGCCCTGCAGTCCACGGAGCTGTGCGGATTGTTGACGTTTATGATCAAGTCGATCGATGCATTCACAAAGCGAAGGCGTCTGTGGCGACGAGGAGAGGACAGCTCTGGTCAAGTCGTCAAGGCTACTACGTGAGAGTTGTCTATCCTGTCCAACTAAGGGACCAAAAGGACAAGGCGTGTTGGCCGCACATTGGATCCTTCGAATCGACAGGTCAATAACCGGGACCGAAACGGTCCATCGAAGACGAGATGGCGCGGGACTAAGATCGTCGTTTGCTTGTCGTGCAGAGGGGCGTCGAGTGACGACTTGAGGCACTTGAACAAGCACCCAGCGTGTGAAATAGCAAGGATAATCCGGATAAGTGTCCGAGTATCCACTGGATGCTTGTGGTGTCGCGAAGCGTGGCGACAGGTTTGTCCCAAAACCCCAAAAACCCACGCGCTACGTCGCCTGCGATGTCCAGTCGACGCAACCCGCACTTTAGTCAGTCGAAGGCAGCCGGATCTTCGGTTGAGATCTTCGGTTGAAGGTCGCCGGATCTTCGGCGAAGTTCGCACCGAAGCCTTTCAACCGGATACGGGTTACGGTATCCGGTTATGACAAGAACGGACGATCATCGCGCGCCGCAGTTCCCCAGCCGCTGCCCGCTGTGCCAACCACGATGGGTTCACGACGTCGACGACCAGCGTTCGTGGCTGACACCTGCCTGCCTATAGTGTCCAAGCCCACTGATGTCTACAAGGTCTTCGTCTCGAAGGACTACATGAAGTTCAACGCGGCCCACTTCATCGCGTACAAGGTGCATCGGCATTGCGCACCAGCATGGCCTCACGCTATCAACTAGGGCTTCCGCGAACGCCTCCATGGCCACAACTACCGTTTGTCCGTGACCATCTACGGCCACTCGGTTGGCCACGACGGCTACGTGTTGGACTTTGGCCAGATCAAATCGGTGCGCGACCTCTCGTTGGGACTAGCCATGACAAGCTCGTTGCTCTAGAGCGCGCGCAAGATTTGCAAGGAGCTCAACGAACACTTTATCGTGCCCATCAACCGCTAGGACGACCGCATCGTCATTCGTGAGTCCCGTGGCTTCAAGTTTGAGCGTCTCAAGGCCGCGCATCATCCACGCAGGCAGCGCCCGCGCCAGCTCCAAGACGCCTTCGTTGCCGAGCACGGTGCCAGCGAAATCCACATGTGTGAGGCGGCGGGAGGTCGAGAGCCACTGGATGATTTTTGAGACGCTCGTCGGTGCACACGTCAGTTGACGCAGCGTCGCGGTCACGAGCCGTGGACAAGCGCCGGTCGTCGTCACAGCCGAGAGTCGCCATTTCGTGAGCGTCATAGTCTCGAGTGCGGTGCACTCCCCCATCGTGCGAATGGCATTGGCCACTGGAAGCACATCCGCATGGGTATTTTCGAATGTAAAAGAGAGAATCTTGGTCCGATCCAACGTGGCGAGGATCGGAATACCGTGCTCCCCTGATGACGAGCGCAACGAGAGGAGCGTGACGTGGTGCAAACTGCCCGTCGCCAAGGCGGCTTGAACGTCCACGACACCATCGAGACGCAATGTTGAGAGCGTAGCACATGCTTGCACCGCGCTGGCCAGCGCCGCCGGATCCCGCACAGAGGCGCACGCGAGGTCGAGGGACGTTGCACTGGGTCCCTGGAGCCAGGCGACGATGGCGCTAGTGTCCAACGAGCCCGTCGCGTTGGCAGTCACCTTGAGCGTACGCAAGTGCTGCTTCGATGGCGCCGTAAGGTACGCAGCAGCCGCTGCTTGCGTCTCGGCGCCCTCGATGCTCGCACTCTGGACGTTGACGCAGCGCACAAGCATGTCCGGGATCGGGTCCGGATGGACCTTGTGACCCTTGATAACGACAGCGGTAATGCGATCACCCCAGTTGTACACAAATGTTGTGAGCGTGCCAGGCACGGATGGATCCACGATCAGCGTCACGGCTCTCTTGGGCGTTGCGTCGAGCCAATGGAGGGCCGTAAAGCCAGATTCAATGTAGACACCGGCAAAAACTGGTAGCGCTGGCATACCAAGCCGAGCGTACTGGAGCGGAATCTCGGTGATCTGCGCGACCGGCCAGTGCTGGGCGAGGTTGACGACAGCGCCGAGGTCGCGGAGCGCAATGAGCTCGGGCGGCAGCGTCATTGGTGGTAGGGCTGCCAGAAAGGCGGTCACGCTCTTTCCATCGCGGAGCGCTTCAAGAATGAGGTAGACCACGGCGCTTGGCAGGCTCGGCGAGCGTGTGACAGCCTTGCGCACACAAACCCGCTTGGTCTCGGTTGCATCGGCCATCACTGGCAGACAAAATATCGGAGCGCGCCACTCAAAACTGTCATAATGAATACCTCCAGCAATGTATTATTTTCAAAATTGGATACTAGTACGCGAGGTAACTTTTGCTCCTTGCTCCTCGGACTATACCCCTGCCTTGCGCTTGCTCATGGGCTTGACAATGAACTCAACCGAGGCCCAGCACGCACGATTTTCATGTTCATCGCTCATGACGACAGCGTGTTGGATAATGCACATGTTCGAGAGACGAGGTACAGCGTAGGGAAAATCGCAATTGATGCAATTACAAGCAGATGGGGTGCCATGGCGATGAGGTGCGCGACGGCGACGCAAACGTGCTGGACGCAATGTACTGGAGCTGGTGCAACTTCATGAGGTCTCGGATTGCTTGGCGTTCGTTCGCATATGAATCACGCCGGTCATGCGCATTCGAGGCGCGACCAGTGTCGACGAAAAGACCGCTCAAGTGCAATATGACATCACGACATGCCCCCAGCGTCGTCAATAGCAACGGCACCGACGCGTTAGTCAGTTGATTTCCCGCCAAATTGATCGCCAGCCGGCGGCAGTTGCGGCTCGACGCAAGCGCGACCGCAAGGACGACCACATCGTCATCTTTAAGTCCCATTGCTTCCAGATTGAGACTCTGGAGGCCTCTCGCCATCCACGCAGGGAGCGCCCGCGCCAGCTCGACGACGCCTGCCTTGCCGAGCGCGGTGCCAGTCAAGTCGACTGACGCGAGTTGGCGCGAGGTCGAGAACCACTGGATGAGTTTGGGCACGTCGCACAGCGCGGCGAACGTCGACCACTTGATCGCAACACTCGTAAGCCAGACGCAATGCCCCATCTTCCTTGTCGTCGACATTGGTGAAATGTGCGCATTGACAAGCGAAACCTCCTCGAGCATGGTGCACTCGCCCAGCGCGTCGACGATGTAGGGCAGCACCAACGCCTCTCCTTGGGTCTTGGCCAGTGTAATGCGGGCGACGACGCTTGGATGCAGAATTGCGAGCACGTTCACGTACGGTCCCGATGTGAGACCCAGCGAGAGCGACAAAATGTGGTCCAACTTGTATTCTGAGGTCGCCAAGGCGTCCTGGACGTCCATGGCGTTTTCAAAGCTCAGCGACGACAGCGACTCGCATGATGCAATCGCGATCGCCAGCGCTGTCGGGTCCAGCACGGTCTCGCAAGACAGAGAAAAGCATACAGCGCAGGGTCCATGAAGCCACGCAACGATCGCAGCGGCGTCAAGCGCACCAGGCGACACGACATGGACTCGGAGCGCATGCAAGTGGTTGGTTGGTAACGCTGCCAAGCATGCTGCGGCGACGAGTGGCGTCGCAGCGTCCTCGATCGTCACACATTGCACGTTCACGCAGCGGGACAGGAATTCGGGGACCGGGTCCGGGTCCACGGCATGGCCCTTGACAATGACCTCGGAGATGCGATCGCCCCAGTTGTATGCAATGGCGCCGGGTACACCAGATTCGGACGGGTCAAGGACCAGTGTTAGCGGTATCGTCGGCGGCAAGGTCGCGTCCAGCCACGCCAGCGCCATAAAGCCAGCATCAATGTAGATACCGGCAAAGGTTGGCAGCGCGGCAACGGCAAGTTGAACATGTTGAATCGGAATCTTGGTCACGTGCACGACCGGCCAGTGGTCGGCGAGGTCGACAGCGGCGCCGAGGTCGCGGAGCGCAGCGAGCTCGAGCGGCAGCGTCTCGCCCGGCATCGATGGCCTCCAGAATGAGGTAGACCACGACGCTTGGCAGGCGTGGCGAGCTCGCGGAAAGACGCGGGTCCACCGCGATGGCCTCGCCGGAGGTCTCGTCGGTCGTTGCCAGCATCGGAATAATTGCACCGTCAAACGTTTCCTGTCGAACTACGTATACCATGTAACCTTCGAAAATGCCTGTCCAACGGCCACGGAGGTTCCCCCTGCATGCTAGTACAGTACCTCCTCGTACTGAATGGTTTGTGCTGGACAGTGGAGCAAATGAGCCCTGTGCGATAGCGCGAGACCTTGGTACTCTCGTACAAGGAATGTTACAAAATGATAGGATCTCATCCGGATGTTTTGTCGCAAAGATCGCCATTCGCTTCTGTCAACGGACGGACGGTGGGGACACCAGCTGCGGGCGTGCGAGAGACAATAATCGCCAAGTTAGGAACGACATGGTGATAGCAACTGCCAATGAGAAAGCAAGAACGCCGTGGAGAAGAAAGTCGCACTCGTTGCTCTTCTTTCCGAGCAAAGCTGCAAGACTGACCACGATTGAGTCACAAAGACATTTGCATACGTCAGGATAGGAATTTCGGACATGTGTCACCATTCTGTAGCACAAGCAGCACAAGCCTCCATGCAAGATGCATCCCACGTTGCAGCATTCGACTGCATCACACAATCAAGCAATTTGCTACAACACTAAGATCTCCACCGAAATCAAAATGCTCAATTGCCTTAACTCTAACCTAGGAATCACATTCGATTATAAAGACTACTAGATCGAATGCCACAGTGACGACACGTGCGATGGCGATGAGAACCGGCCTGGCACCGAGTGGTCAAGGCTGTGCACGCGCACAAGGTCGCAAAGGACGTCTTGTCCCGTCAACACGAACGGCCCGTCCAAACGCAACGTGACATTTCGACTTGCGCCCAGCATCGTCAGCAGCACGGGCGCTGACGCGATTGTCAGTTCGTTTCCGGTCAAGTCGATCGTCAGCGGTCGTCGGTTCGTGCCCGAGGCCAGCGCAATCGCAAGGACGACCGCATCCTCGTCATTGAGCCCCGTCCCCCTCAGCTGCAGCGTTTCGAGGCCACGCAGCATCCACGCCGGCAGCGTGCGCGCTAACTCCAAGGCGCCTTCTCTGCCGAGCACCGTGCCATCCAAATCAACCGACGCGAGATGACGCGACGTTGAGAGCCAGCGCACGATCGTCAGCACGTCTCTCGGGTCCTCAAACGTCGACTGCTTGAACGTGACATCTCGCAGCAGCGACGAGCACCGGTCGTCACGATCCGCGGGATGTGCACGCGGATAAAGCCAACTACCTCGAGTTGAGGACACTCGCCGAGCGCGTCGACGACGTGGGGTAGCACGAGCCGATCCCCGAGCTTCTTCTCGAACAGAAAAGAGCGCACGTGTCCTGGCCGTAGCTTGGTGAGGATGTCGGCGTACGTATCGCTCCATTGGCTCTGGGTAAGCACACCAACGTGCTCCAAGACAAAGGGTGACGTCGACAAGGCGTCTTGCACGTTGCTAGCGTCATCGAGGTCCAAGTACGACAGCGTCGCGCACGCTTCGATCGCAGCCACCAGCGACGTCGGGTTGCTCACCGAGTCACACGAGAGCGTGAGTGACGTCGCGTTGGGTCCGTGTAGCCAGGCCACGAGACCTGACGTGTCCAGCGCACCCGACGCCGTGACATGAACGTCGAGTGTATGCAAGTATTGCAGTGGAATCGCGGCCACGTACGCCGCAGCATCGACGGGCATTGTAGCGTGCGCGATCTTGACCGACTGGACGTTGACGCAGCGTCCGAGGAGGTCGGGAATCGGGTCCGGGTGTACCTCGTGGCCCTTGGCGATGACACTCGTGATGCGGTTGCCCCAGACGTACGCAAAGGCGCTCGCCGCGCCAGACACGGCCTGGTCGATGACAAGTGTCACGGGCATCTTGGGCGGCAGCTTGGCGTCGAGCCAATCGAGGGCGGTAAAGCCAGCATCCACGTAGACACGCTTGAACGTTGGCAGTGCAGCCATACCGAGGCGGGCATACTGGACCGGGATCTGGGTCACATGCACGACCGGCCAGTGGTACGCGAGGTCGACAACAGCGTCGAGGTCGCGCAGTGCAATGAGCTCGGGCGATAGCGTCTCGCTCGGCAGCGCTGCAAGAAAGGCGGCGACGTCCCGCCCGTCCTCCATGACCGCCAAAATGGCATAGACCACGGCGCTGGGCAGGCGTGACAAGCTCGTGGGAAGGCGCCGGCGGTCTCGTCGATCGATACCATTGGCGCGCGTCCGATTCGAGTGTTTCTGCCACATGTGATACAATTTGGCGGAACTGTGGAAATACGTATATGTCGCCGACGAAATTGCATGTCGAGCGGGGTTCGAAGTCCCTCCCGCACGCTGTCCCTTGGCGTCCGGTCAATAATAACGCCCACGAACAGCGACAGCTACACTCGTACGGTACCTAATTGGGGTCTGCGTTGTACAATTGCATCTGAATCTCAAAACAGATCTCAAAATGGGCGTTTGAGAGACACCATGGCGATCGTCGCGCCTTTCCAAGATCCAAACCGGTCGGTGCTCGGACGTGGGTCGGACGCCAAGCGCTCGAGCATGTATTCGCACGTCCATGGCAGTGGAATTGCTGAAGGCGCCATGGAGGATGAGCTGGCGACGTGGCTAGCGATGTACGGTATCTTGTGTTGACGTTGCCTCCTGGCCCCACGCTGGGCTCACGACCGCGATCCAGCAGCGGGCATGAGCTGGCACACGCTCGCAGAAAGGGAGCGCCGACGGGTGGCAACGCGGTATTGTTCGCTACGTAACGCAGGGGACGATGGCCCAAAGGCTCGATCCCGCGTTGTGCATCTCGAGATGGCAACGCTTATACATAACACGATGGATTAGAAGAGCATAGTCGCGCATACGATTACGGGCGACCGCGCCCACGACCGCGCCCACGGCCTCGGCCGCGGCCCTTGGCGGCCATGGCGCCGGCCCCCGTGGCCTTGACCTTTTGCTTGGGCGTGTCGTCAATGAGGAGTGTGTCGAGGTTGAGCGAGTCGGGCAGAATGTAGCAGCGGATGTTGTTGCCACGGATGCTCAGCGAGTCGAGCGACGTCGGGTTCTTACCCTTGACCGTCATCTTGACGGCCTTCAGGTGCGTGTTCATGCTAATGTCGACGCCGGTGACCGTGCCATGCACGACCGTCCCGTTCTTGAGCTCGATGGTCACCGTCTCGTTCGAGAGCTTCATGAGGAACCTATGCCATAGCGCGATCATCAGCATCAACCTGCATGGTACGGCCATGGGTGCGGGCGGCCCTCGCGCCGCCCAGCCCATGCCCCGTATCCGCGTACCGGACGAGCTTCATGCTGCCTGTGTTGCGCTTTCGACCACTGATGAAGATGGAACCCGTGGCCCTCGATACAAGCACTTGGCGCTGATCTTGTAGCGAGGGCTTCGACATCCGGATACACGAGCCGCGTATCCGGTCAATCTATCCGGATGGGTTGCGGCCAGTGGTTCTTATTGCCAATCGCGGAAGAGCAGGAGGAAGTCGACGACATGGGCCGCGCTCGCAAGATCATCAAGAACGTCATCACGCACACGCGGGGCATGGTGCGCAACCGTGGCATGGAAGCGCCCGAGTGGCTCGAGATGGTCAACCGCTTCCCGCCGCCGGCCATGCCCCGGACGGACTACGACAAGCTGCCCAAGCTCGAGTTCCCGCAGGATCGCCTCGCCGAGCTCTACGCGCGCAAGTGCGGCTTCCCGACCGACGACGAGACGGCGTACGAGTTTGCCGACGAGCAGCTCACGCTCATCGAGCTCGGCGTGCCGGAGAAGAAGGCGTTTGTGATGCTCATGGAGAAGTACGAGCACGTCGAGGGCGACCGATTCCTGCAAAAGTACTACCAAGTGCGTGGCGAGGCCTTTATCCCGAGCACCAAGCCGCACGAGATGACCGAGCGGTGGGCCAACCAGGAGGCCGGTGCCATCAAGGAAGGCATGCGCCTCGAGTTCGAAGACGCCGCCGAGATTGCGGCCTTGGAGAAGGAATACCACCACGAAGAATAGGTAGAGATATCGTGGAGGCGAGGTAATAGAACAACATAAGTCGTCGTCGTGCGCTATTCTTCGGTGCCCTGCGGGACGAGCACGACATGACTCGATCGCTCCAGGACTTCGCCGCGCTTCCTCGGGCCTCACGCTGCAAGCACACGACACGCAAGCAGCAGCTAGGTTAGGCAATGCCCGGGCACAGACGCCATAAGCTCGCCGATGGGTTCATCATGCGCATGACAAGAAGAAACCTTCAGCATGGTAGACATCCATGGATACATTTAGTAACCGTCGACCGGTCTCCACGCATTTGCCGCATCTGTCCAGCGCCTCCATAGACTCTATGCGCACGCTGCTATTTGTTTAGATACGACAATATGTTCTTGATGCTTCACGTCAGTTGGACTCCATAATCAACGACGCAAAATGCTCTACAGGGCGAGCCACACCGTGGTAGACGATGTCTCCATGGTATGCTGTAGTAGATACGTCAATGGTACGCTGCACGGTGGGCGCTGGTCCGTCGGTCCCTTGTCAACAGCTCGTTGATTTCTGCGCGAGGATCGTCGACGTTCCGACGTTCAAAGCCATTGCAATCGCACACCGTCGGCAAGGTCGCGAGCGTCGCTTCAAAGCCCAAGAGGACTTCTTCCAGCACCGTGGGCTCATACGGCTCGTCGTTGGCCGCTACGGCCACCAGCGCCATGATATCGTCGTGGTTTAGCGAACGTGTCGGGTCCAGGAGCTGCTCCAATGGCCCGAGCGGCCGATCTCTGACACTACTTGGGACACACTTTTGAACTGGGGCCGCTTGCACCGGAGCGATGAGAGCCTGCACGGGAGCGGTGAGAGCCGGCACGGGAGCGGTGAGGGCCGGCACGGGAGCGGTGAGGGCCGGCGGACACGTTGTCGGCGCTTGATCCTGCAATATCAGCTTTCTGCTCGCTGCCGACACATTGTCCTCTGGCGTCTACGTCACTGCATCAAGACAAGCGTTGAATCAACCTATCGAGCGGACCGGGATCGCACGAATAGCGTCCTTGGTTGCCCGCTGGATCAAACTCAAACTCGATTTTGAAGTGGTGGCGTGGCGCGGTGGAGGTGCAATGGCTTTGTGGAGCTCAACAAGAAGGTGGACGGGGGAGGAGTCGGTGGCGGAACCTCGGGCTCTCGACCTAGCTGGTGCTACCATTACAGCAATGAAAGTTAGGGACAAGCACCGTACAGGTCGTGGTCGGGTGACTGGCATGGGCCCGCGGTTTGCTTCGCATCGCATCCGAGAGCGCTTGGTGGTCCCGTGACGCGGCCCCTTTTCTCTACAATACAAGTGTAAACGGTTGGCGGTTCGATCCCGGTTAGAAGAGGCTACGGGAATTCGCTGCACGCTGCGGGGACGACAGACCGAACATGGCGTTGACGTTGCCGCGTCGATAGATGTCGCATTCGGCTTTCGAGGGTACCGGACATCGTCGAGCAAAAGCAAACTTGGCAAGAGCGACGCGAGCCGTGCACGGTAGCCTTTGAGATCTGCGATCGGATTGTGGTGGAGATGGAGACTCTGGAGCGACTAGAAGATATGGTTAATCACATCTGGTAGCGTCTCTCTCAGCGTTGTACGCGGTTGAGGGACATGGACCGCACGTCGAGAAAGGTGCGTACCGCATTGTGGCTCAGATCCAAAACCTAATGCAATGTAGCAACACCTAGAAGTAGCGTCTACCTTTAGATGCTGAAGGCTCTCGAGACCATCCACAATGCGAATTTGGTTGTGCGAGAGATCCACATGCACGAGCGACACAAAGCAGCGCAAATGGCTCATGTCCGAGATCCAATTGCAGCTTCCATTGAGGTGCTACATTTGTATGTGCACATAATAAGCACACTAGATACTCGTTATACTGGAGAGAGGACCTCCAACGCAGGATAGACAAGAGTCGAGTCGACGGCCAAGTCTTGGAGGATGTTGTCCGAGACGTTCAAGCACACGAGCCGTGACGCATTTTCCTACGCAAGTAGAACATGTCATGCGCTTCAGGAGGACCGTTTCCTACGATGATTAGATCCGAGAGACCGCGGAGGTTGGGCTGGCGCACGATTAGCTTGGGGTGCGACGGCTCGAACGTGAGCGCAGCCATTGTGAGCCAAGGGTGGCGTCGTTACAACGGGTGTCGCTTCACGACGATCAGCAGTTACGATCTTAGCCCGTGACGTGGCGCCGTGCCTCGCGGCCACGCGCTTCGTCCTTTCTGTTGCGTGCGCCAAAATCATATGGTGACACCTCATGGGTCCGTCAAGAACAGAGAGACAGACAGCCAATGGCATTGTTGCATAGTCCACCCAAGAACTTGATGGCGATACCGGTAACGCAGCGAGCCAAGGTCGCCGACCATGCCACGCCGTCCGGGCGCCTCGTCCTGAGCATCCTTGCACGCAGCCTCGTGCGCTGCCTCGGTGACGTGAATGACGTCGAGCGCTTGCTTCGAGCGCTGCCGACGGACGTCGTCTCGGATCCCGCCTTGACGAGCCTCCGCGCTCTTTTGGCCGAGGAGCCCTCGCGCGGTGCGGTATGGCCCACGCTCGACGCGAGTCGCCTCTGTGCAATGGCCGATCCCGCTGCCTTTGAGCGGGTCGCCGTCTTGTTCAACCTCGTCCAGCAGACCGGCATGAGAATGCCTGCGCTCACCTTCCAAGCCGTGCCGGCCCTCTACGGTCTCGTCGTGAAAGCGCTCCCGCTTTTTAGCGCGATCACCATCGACGACCTCATTCCGATACCGCAAGTGTGGCGCCGCGTTGTCTTGCCAGCGCACACCAAGGTCACCGGCGGGTTCTACAGCGCCTCAAGCGTCGACGAATTTGCCGCCTGGGCAGCCAACATGATCGAGCTCAACCTCGTCGACGCAGATGGATCGACGTGGCAAGGCATCGCTCACCTTTTGCAAAGCTGCCCGAAGCTGTGTTCGATCAGCTACGTGAGCAGGGCCGTCGTTGACATGGCGCCGTTCGACGACGATATCACGGCGTTCTGCTCGGCCCTCGCGAATTCCCGGCTGGAAACGCTACGTCTCACCAAGCTGATTGCGACTCCACACGCATTGAAAGCGCTGGCCCATGCGCTTTTGCGATCCAAAACGCTCGCCAACATCACTATCTACATGATGTCGGAGCTTTGGGACCATCTTTTGATGGAAGGTGGACCGCCGCTTCCGGTTCAGCTGACGTCCGTGGACGTCGCCTCCATATCGGCGGTCAACGTGATGCGACTTGTGACTAAGCTGACGCGAACGCGCTTGCGTACGCTGCAAATCCGTGAGGCCATTGACGTCACGGACGCGGTCATGACCCTCGATTGTCTCCCGGAGCTCACGTCCCTGACGATCCACCACGCCGTCCTATTCAACTTCCCGCAGCTGACGCGATTGCGTCATCTGGATGTAATGTCGGCCACTGTCAACAGCGCGACGATGACAGCGATCGGGCAGCTCATGGCCACGTCGTCGGCGCTCGAAACCGTCAATGTCCAGAACTGTTTCTACTTGGAAGGCTCGTCGGATGCGATGCTTCGCGCGCTGCCCGACTTTTTTTGTCGCTCCGGGACGGCACTGACGTTGGACGTAACTGGTTCACAAAGTGCCGCGGCGCTTGCACAAGTGATGACGCGCTCGCGTAATACCGCCGAGGTGACGTTGCATGTCTTCGAGGAACAGATGCCACTGGACGCCATTTACGGTCTCCTCGATGCCTTGGCGCGCTGCACGCGGATGACGCTCATCGTGGAAGGCGACTCGGACGAGAGTGACTTGCTTGTGTTTCGTGCGGAGACATTGGGTCTGCAGCCAGTACTCGACGTTGTGCCGCTGCGCGACGCCGAGACAGACCCGCTCTACCGCTTGCGCTGCAAGTCGCCAATTGGCCGTGTTGAGGAGTGATTTCCACAGAACATACGGTAACCGTCACGTGGACAGGGCGTCTGCAGCTCTACTTGTCTCGTCAACACCGTCCATTGTCGCTGTTGAGGTAGACCACTAGTGCAAGTACGAAACGCTTAACAAATGGAAGCTGTCGACCTTTCTTACATGTTGTCAGTTACGGTTCAACGGCGTGCCATGCTGTCGTGGAGCGGGATGGCCATCAAAAGACACCGGGCAACACCTCCTCGAGCCGATGCAGGTGCAAAAGGTATTGAAGCGGAGGCGCCAAAGAGCACTTTATCTCAGACGGGGTGCAGGACGTATCCCCATAGCCACATCCACCCTCCAAGAATAATAACTACGATCGTCGACATGGGCGAGTCGGTGCTTGGTACGCGCCAAGCTCCGTACTATTGTCAACGAAGCGACGGCCACAGCCACCTTTATTTCATGACCTGGTGCATCGTTTGAGGACGCTGCGGCACTCGGCGTCGTCCTTGATTGTGAAAATAAAAGCCATTTATCGATTTACCCCATTTTCTACACATGCACCCATGTCAACCGACAGCGGAGACTCGCCCGCTAGCCTCGGGATGGACGACGCCATCCACATGGGTGTTTCGTGCCCGATTCCGATCAGACATGCGCATCGCGCCATTGCTGCGCCACCTGCTGGAGTATCGTACCGCTCAAGTCGACAGACTTCAAGCAGCGCGAGGTCGAGAGCCACTGAATAAACGCGACAAGCTCGCGCGGCGTCTCGAAATCCATGGATCGCACGCGCACGGTCGTCAAGTGCGGCCAGAGACCAGTCGTTCGCCTGTCCGCTGTAAGTCCGAGGTTGGTGAGGCTGAGCGTCGTCAGTGCGGGACACATCGCGAGCGCATCGAGCACACTTGTCATGGGATCTCGTCGCCTTCATCGCCAACGTCGTGTTCGAGCAAAAACGAGACGACCTTGGAGCGATCGAGCTTCCGAAGCGGACCAACCGGTAAGCGGTCGTCAAAGCCATTGTCGAGAATGGCGAGCGACGTGACGTGGTGCAAGGACACCGAAGCCGCTTTGACGTCGAGCGCATCGCCGAGGCGCAACGAGGTGAGATGCGAGCAGTCTTGGATTGCAGTTGCGAGCGGTGCCGGGTCGCGCACCGAGTTGCACGTGAGCGAGAGCGTCGTCGCGCGAGGTTCTTCAAGCCTTGCGACGATGCCTGACGCGTCGACTGTATTTTGGCCCATATCATCCAGTTGGAGTGCATGCAGCTGCTTGGTCGAGAGAGCATCCACGTACTTATCGACGGGCACGAAGTTGGCCTCGATTAGGACAGATTGAACGTTGACGCAGCGCCCGAGCATGTCGGGCATTGGATCTTTACGCACCGTGGCGCCTCTGACAATGACGTTGGTGATACGGTCGCCCCAGGCATAGGCAAAGGCGCTACTTGTGCCAAGCTCCTCGGGGCTTAGAACCAACGTGATTGGCATCGCTGGTGGCAAGGTTGCATCCAGCCACACGAGGGCAGCGACGCCAAGATTCACAAAGACGCCTTCGAATGCTGGCAGCGCGTCGATGGCGAGGCGCGCATGCTCGATCGGAATCGCGATCACGTGGACGACCGGCCAGTGGTCGGCGAGGTTGATAGCGGCGCCAAGGTCGCGGAGCGCGACGAGCTCGAGCGGCAGCGTTAGTGGCGGTAGCGCCTTGAGGAGCGAGGTGACGTCGCGTCCATCGTCCAGCATCTGGAGAAGCACTACCCGTCGCGACGCCACTGGAAATCGTCATCGTACCGTCCATGCAGCACGGCGCCCGGCAGGTTCAGCGACGTGGCACGCTGGCAGACGCGTTTGGTCATCGTTGCAACTGCTGGCGCGTGCGCGGTACCTCTGAGACTCAATATTAGGATCCGAGGGTTATGACGTGGCGCCAGGACGTGCAAGGCGAGTTTGCATTTTGCGTGTTGCGCGATGTCGCCAGAGATAGTGAGAATGGGCTTTTTAGTCGTGCCCTTGCACCTCGTAAGGGACGGAATGCATTGGCCCACTCGACCAGTATTTCTGCGTGAGCCGTTGAGAAACGTGGCGAGGGCGAACCATGATACAGCTAGATAGCAGTGGTTTCTGGTATGGAAGCGCAGAGAGATGAACTCTTTGGTAAGAGTGGAAATAGTATTTGTGGTCCACAAGTTAACGTTATATTTTCCATTGGGGCTCCCAGGGCACCCTGTCGTCCAGGATGTCGACTTCGTAGATAGGCGTGCACAAAATTTCGGTATCCGGCAACCACCTGGATACGACGAAGACAAGTCAGATAAAAGTTCCGTATTTGATAACATTCTATTAATAATACATACCAGTATACAACCATGTGACACCACAGTCATTTAGAAATTCCTCGCTCGATGACCAAGCGCGTTTGCCAGCGCACCACGTCGCCGGCATTGCCAGGCGTTGTTGTCCATGGCCTCCTCGAGATGCTGGGCGACGGACGCGACGTCACTTCGCTGCTCAACGCGTTGCCGTCGTTGACGCTGCCGCCCGAGCTTGTCGCGCTCCGCGACCTTGGCGCCGCTATCAACCTCGCCGACCACTGGCCGGTCGTGCACATCACCAAGATTCCGGCCAAGCATGCACGCCTCGCGATTACCGCACTGCCTGCTTTCTCTGGCATCTATGTGGATCCTGGCATCGTCGCCCTCGCGTGGCTGGATGCGACCTTGCCACCAGCGATGCCAATCACGCTGGTCGTGAGCCCCGAGGAGCTCGGCACCTGCAGCGCTTTTGCGTACACCTGGGGCGACCGCGTCACAAACGTCATTGTCAGAGGCGCCAAGATGCGTATCGACCCGGTCCCCGACATCCTCGCGCGCTGCGTCAACGTTCAATCGATTCGAATCGAGTTTTACACGCCCGTCGACAAGTACTTGGACGCTCTCTCGACGAAGCAGCTGCATACGCTCCAGATTGATGCGTTGGGCCACGATGCAATCGACACGTCGGTCATCGTCGCTTGGCTCCAAGGACCTCGCGCGACGTCGCTCTCGCTCACGTGCAACTCGGTGCGCGACCTGGCAGCGCTCGCGACCGCGATCCAAGACTGCGCTACGTTGTCGTCCTTGCGCATTGTCGATACACCCGGCCTGAAAGAAGCCTTGGTGACGTCCTCAAGCAACTTGCACCACATCACATCGCTAACTCTGCACGACGAAGGATTCAACCATGACGTGAACGTGGGTCTGCTTCGGAAGCTCGACCGCACCAAGGTCCTCTCGTTCTCGCTCGAGAAGGACCAAGGCCTCGAAGGCGACGAGGTGGCCACGACCAGTGTGCTCGATGCGCTCGCGGTGTGTCCCGCGCTGACGACGCTCAGCTTCACCAACCTCGACGTCACAGCGGACAGGCGGATGACAGGTTTCTGGCCGCACTTGACCACCGTGCGCGTGCGATCCACGGATTTCGAGACGCCGCGCGAGCTTGCCGCGTTTGTTCAGTGGCTCTCGACCTCGCGCTGCTTGAAGGTCGTCGACTTGAGCGGTACGACACTCCAGACAGAAGGGCTTGTCGAGCTGATGCGCGCGCTGCCGGCGTGGATGGCGAGAGGCCTTGAGACGTTATCGCTCCAAGGCACCAAACTCGGTGATGACGGCGCTGCGATAGTTGCCGTCGGTCTCGCATCGGGTAAGAACCAACGCCCTTTGACGGTCGATTTGACAGGCAACAAACTCTCAATCGTGAGCGTCAAGCTACTGTTGGCGACACTCGGTGCTTGCCAGAACGTCAGGCTGCATCTGTTCACAGCAAGGTCCGACGCTGATTACTCGTCGACGATTCAAAACCTTTTGCGCCTGCATCAGCTCCAGGAGGTGCTGCCCGGTGTCTTTCGGTCGCCATCCCGCTCCACATCAGCGTGACATGCTCTTTAGCAGCATAGATGATGCATAAATAAAATGAGCGACTATATCACATATTTCTATCAACATTGCATGCCCCATTTCCGGCGAAATGGTACAACACAGAAATACAAACTCATCAATCCTCGCGCCACGTCATAACCCTCTGAATTCGATCCAATATGAATTTATAGAGGCTATCCACAATCGCCAGACACAAACTAGGGTCCGGGGGAGTGGGCGGAGTGGGCTGGTAGGAACGATGAAATCATATGTCCGATTATGCCATGTTGTCGGCGACTTTGGCCTTCACGTCGTCGTCAGTCACGTCCATCGTCGTACGAGGTGCTCGGAACCGCTCGAAGCCAGATGATGACAATGGGCATGCAGCAGCGTTCCAATTCTGGATGAGCGCGTGGCGAATCACATCCAAAGCCTCGAACTCGGGCGGTGCCCCCGTGA